GGACGTGGACATGGACGTGGACCTGGACGTGGACGTGGACGTGGACGTGGACGTGGACATGGACGTAGACGTGGACGTGGACGTGGACGTGGATGTGGACGTGGACATGGACGTGGACCATGGACGTGGACGTGGACGTGGACGTGGACGTGGACATGGACATGGTCGTGGACGTGGACGTGGACGTGGACGTGGACGTGGTCGTGGACGTGGACGTGGACGTGGACATGGACGGACGTGGACGTGGAGGACTGGACGTGGACATGGACGTGGACGTAGACGTGGACGTAGACGTGGACGTGGAGGTGGACGTGGACGTGGGACGTGGACGTGGAGGACTTGGACATGGACATGGACGTGGACGGGAGGACTTGGACGTGGACATGGACGTGGACGTGGACGTGGACGTGAACGTGGACGTGGACATGGACGAGGACATGGACGTGGACATGGACGTGGACGTGGACGTGGACGTGGACGTGGACGTGGGACATGGACGTGGACGTGGACGTGACATGGACATGGACGTGGACATGGACATGGACGTGTGGACGTGGACGTGGACGTGGACGTGGACATGGACGTTGTGGATGTGGACGTGGACGTGGGATGTGGACGTTGACATGGACGTGGACATGGACGTGGACGTGGACTGGGACGTGGACGTGGACATGGACATGGTCGTGGACGTGGACGTGGACGTGGGACGTGGACGTGGACGTGGACGTGGTCGTGGACGTGGACGTGGACGTGGACGTGGACATGGACGTGGACGTGGACGTGGAGGACGGACGTGGACATGGACGTGGACCTGGACGTGGACGTGGACGTGGACGTGGAGGTGGACGGGATGTGGACGTGGACGTGGAGGACTTGGACATGGACATGGACGTGGACGTGGAGGACTTGGACGTGGACATGGACGTGGACGTGGACGTGGACGTGACTACGTGGACGTTGGACATGGACGAGGACATGGACGTGGACATGGACCCGTGGACGTGGACATGGACGTGGACATGGACGTGGACGTGGACATGGACGTGGATGTGGACGTTGACATGGACGTGGACGTGGACATGGACTTGGACGTGGACGGACGGACTGGACATGGACGTGGACGTGGACGTGGACGTGGACCTGGACATGGACGTGGACGTGGACGTGGCAGTGGACGTGGACGTGGACGTGGACGTGGACATGGACGTGGAGACTTGGACGTGGACGTGGACATGGACGTGGACGTGGACATGGACGTGGACGTGGACGTGGACCGTGGACCTGGACGTGGACATGGACGGGGACGTGGACGTGGAGATGGACGTGGACGTGGACATGGACGTGGACCTATGGACGTGGACATGTACGTGGACGTGGACATGGACGTGGACGTGGACATGGACGTGGATATGGACGTGGGACATGGGGTGGACGTGGACGTGGACCGTGGACATGGTCGTGGACGTGGACGTGGACGTGGACGTGGACATGGACGTGGACGTGGACGTGGACGTGGACATGGACGTGGAGATGGACGTGGACGTGGACATGGACGTGGACATGGACGTGGACGTGGACGTGGACATGGACGTGGACTGGACGTGGACGTGGACGTGGACATGGACGTGGACGTGGACGTGGACATGGACGTGGACGTGGACGTGGACGTGGACGTGGACGTGGACGTGGACGTGGACGTGGACATGGACGTGGACGTGGACGTGGACGTGGACGTGGACCTGGACGTGGACGTGGACGTGGACATGGACGTGGACGTGGACGTGGACGTGGACGTGGACATGGACATGGACGTGGACGTGGACGTGGACGTGGACGTGGTCGTGGACGTGGACGTGGACGTGGACGTGGACATGGACGTGGACGTGGACGTGGAGGACTGGACGTGGACGTGGACGTGGACGGGACGTGGACGTGGACGTGGAGTGGACGTGGACGTGGACGTGGACGTGGAGGACTTGGACATGGACATGGACGTGGACGTGGAGGGACTTGGACGTGGACATGGACGTGGACGTGGACGTGGACGTGAACGTGGACGTGGACATGGACGTGGACATGGACGTGGACATGGACGTGGACGTGGACATGGACGTGGACATGGACGTGGACGTGGACATGGACGTGGACGTGGACGTGGACATGGACGTGGACGTGGACGTGGACGTGGACGTGGACGTGGACGTGGACGTGGACATGGACGTGGACGTGGACGTGGACGTGGACGTGGACATGGACGTGGACGTGGACGTGGAAGTGGACGTGGACGTGGACGTGGACGTGGACATGGACGTGGAGGACTTGGACGTGGACGTGGACATGGACGTGGACGTGGACGTGGACATGGACGTGGACGTGGACGTGGACGTGGACGTGGACGTGGACGTGGACGTGGACGTGGACATGGACGTGGACGTGGACGTGGACATGGACGTGGACGTGGACATGGACGTGGACATGGACGTGGACATGGACGTGGACGTGAACGTGGACGTGGACATGGACGTGGACGTGGACATGGATGTGGATATGGACGTGGACATGGACGTGGACGTGGACGTGGACGTGGACATGGACGTGGACGTGGACGTGGACGTGGACGTGGACATGGACGTGGACGTGGACGTGGACGTGGACATGGACGTGGAGATGGACGTGGACGTGGACATGGACGTGGACATGGACGTGGACGTGGACGTGGACGTGGACATGGACGTGGACGTGGACGTGGGCGTGGACATGGACGTGGACGTGGACGTGGACATGGACGTGGACGTGGACGTGGACCTGGACGTGGACGTGGACGTGGACGTGGACGTGGACATGGACGTGGACGTGGACGTGGACGTGGACGTGGACGTGGACGTGGACATGGACGTGGACATGGACGTGGACGTGGACGTGGACGTGGACGTGGACATGGACATGGACGTGGACGTGGACGTGACGGTGACGTGGACGTGGTCGTGGACGTGGACGTGGACGTGGACATGGACGTGGACGTGGACGTGGAGGACTTGGACGTGGACATGGACGTGGACGTGGACGTGGACGTAGACGTGGACGTGGAGGTGGACGTGGACGTGGACGTGGACGTGGAGGACTTGGACATGGACATGGACGTGGACGTGGAGGACTTGGACGTGGACATGGACGTGGACGTGGACGTGGACGTGAACGTGGACGTGGACATGGACGAGGACATGGACGTGGACATGGACGTGGACGTGGACGTGGACGTGGACGTGGACGTGGACATGGACGTGGACGTGGACGTGGACATGGACATGGACGTGGACATGGACCTGGACGTGGACGTAGACGTGGACGTGGACGTGGACATGGACGTGGACGTGGACGTGGACGTGGATGTGGACGTTGACATGGACGTGGACATGGACGTGGACGTGGACGTGGACGTGGACGTGGACATGGACATGGTCGTGGACGTGGACGTGGACGTGGACGTGGACGTGGACGTGGACGTGGTCGTGGACGTGGACGTGGACGTGGACGTGGACATGGACGTGGACGTGGACGTGGAGGACTTGGACGTGGACATGGACGTGGACGTGGACGTGGACGTGGACGTGGAGGTGGACGTGGACGTGGACGTGGACGTGGAGGACTTGGACATGGACATGGACGTGGACGTGGAGGACTTGGACGTGGACATGACGGTGGACGTGGACGTGGACGTGACCGTGGACGTGGACATGGACGAGGACATGGACGTGGACATGGACGTGGACGTGGACATGGACGTGGACATGGACGTGGACGTGGACATGGACGTGGATGTGGACGTTGACATGGACGTGGACGTGGACATGGACGTGGACGTGGACGTGGACATGGACGTGGACGTGGACGTGGACGTGGACCTGGACATGGACGTGGACGTGGACGTGGAAGTGGACGTGGACGTGGACGTGGACGTGGACATGGACGTGGAGGACTTGGCGTGGACGTGGACATGGACGTGGACCGTGGACATGGACGTGGACGTGGACGGTGGACGTGGACGTGGACATGGACGTGGACCATGGACATGGACGTGGACGTGGACATGGACGTGGACGTGGACGTGGACGTCGACGTGGACGTGGACATGGACATGGACGTGGACATGGACATGACGTGGACGTGGACGTGGACATGGACATGGACGTGGACATGGACATGGACGTGGACATGGACATGGACGTGGACATGGACATGGACGTGGACATGGACGTGGACGTGGAGGACTTGGACGTGGACATGGACGTGGACGGTGGACGTGGACGTGGACGTGGACGAGGACATGGACGTGGACATGGACGTGGACGTGGACCATGGACGTGACATGGACGTGGACGTGGACGTGGACATGGACGTGGACGTGGACGTGGACATGGACGTGGACGTGGACGTGGACGTGGACCTGGACTTGGGACGTGGACTGTGGACGTGGACATGGACGTGGACGTGGACGTGGACGTGGACGTGGACATGGACGTGGACGTGGACGTGGAAGTGGACGTGGACGTGGACGTGGACGTGGACATGGACGTGGAGGACTTGGACGTGGACGTGGACATGGACGTGGACGTGGACAAGGACGTGGACGTGGACGTGGACGTGGACGTGGACGTGGACGTGGACATGGACGTGGACGTGGACGTGGACATGGACGTGGACGTGGACATGGACGTGGACATGGACGTGGACATGTACGTGGACGTGGACATGGACGTGGACGTGGACATGGACGTGGATATGGACGTGGACATGGTGGTGGACGTGGACGTGGACATGGACATGGTCGTGGACGTGGACGTGGACGTGGACGTGGACATGGACGTGGACGTGGACGTGGACGTGGACATGGACGTGGAGATGGACGTGGACGTGGACATGGACGTGGAGATGGACGTGGACGTGACCTGGACGTGGACGTGGATGGACGTGGACGTGGACGTGGACGTGGACGTGGACATGGACGTGGACGTGGACGTGGACATGGACGTGGACGTGGACGTGGACCTGGACGTGGACGTGGACGTGGACGTGGACATGGACGTGGACGTGGACGTGGACGTGGACGTGGACGTGGACGTGGACGTGGACGTGGACGTGGACGTGGACGTGGACATGGACGTGGACGTGGACGTGGACGTGGACGTGGACATGGACATGGTCGTGGACGTGGACGTGGACGTGGACGTGGACGTGGTCGTGGACGTGGACGTGGACGTGGACGTGGACATGGACGTGGACGTGGACGTGGAGGACTTGGACGTGGACATGGACGTGGACGTGGACGTGGACGTGGACGTGGACGTGGACGTGGTGGACGTGGACGTGGACGTGGACGTGGAGGACTTGGACATGGACATGGACGTGGACGTGGAGGACTTGGACGTGGACATGGACGTGGACGTGGACGTGGACGTGAACGTGGACGTTGACATGGACGAGGACATGGACGTGGACATGGACGTGGACGTGGACATGGACGTGGACATGGACGTGGACGTGGACATGGACGTGGACGTGGACGTTGACATGGACGAAGACGTGGACATGGACGTGGACGTGGACGTGGACATGGACGTGGACGTGGACGTGGACGTGGACCTGGACATGGACGTGGACGTGGACGTGGACGTGGACGTGGACGTGGACATGGACGTGGAGGACTTGGACGTGGACGTGGACATGGACGTGGACGTGGACATGGACGTGGACGTGGACGTGGACGTGGACGTGGACGTGGACATGGGCGTGGACGTGGACGTGGACATGGACGTGGACGTGGACATGGACGTGGACATGGACGTGGACGTGGACATGGACGTGGACGTGGACGTGGACATGGACGTGGACATGGACGTGGACATGGTGGTGGACGTGGACGTGGACGTGGACATGGTCGTGGACGTGGACGTGGACGTGGACGAGGACATGGACATGGTCGTGGACGTGGACGTGGACATGGACGTGGACATGGACGTGGACATGGACGTGGACGTGGACGTGGACATGGACGTGGACGTGGACGTGGACGTGGACCTGGACGTGGACATGGACGTGGACATGGACGTGGACATGGACGTGGACGTGGACGTGGACGTGGACATGGACATGGACGTGGACATGGACGTGGACGTGGACGTGGACGTGGACGTGGACGTGGACGTGGACGTGGACATGGTCGTGGACGTGGACGTGGACGTGGACGTGGACGTGGACGTGGACGTGGACGTGGACGTGGACGTGGACGTGGACTTGGACGTGGACGTGGACGTGGACGTGGACGTGGACGTGGACGTGGACGTGGACGTGGACGTGGACGTGGACATGGACGTGGACGTGGACGTGGACGTGGACGTGGACGTGGACATGGACGTGGACGTGGACGTGGACGTGGACGTGGACGTGGACGTGGACGTGGACGTGGACATGGTCGTGGACGTGGACGTGGACGTGGACGTGGACGTGGACGTTGGACGTGGACATGGACGTGGACATGGACGTGGACGTGGACATGGACGTGGACGTGGACGTTGACATGGACGAAGACGTGGACATGGACGTGGACGTGGACGTGGACATGGACGTGGACGTGGACGTGGACGTGGACCTGGACATGGACGTGGACGTGGACGTGGACGTGGACGTGGACGTGGACGTGGACATGGACGTGGAGGACTTGGACGTGGACGTGGACATGGACGTGGACGTGGACATGGTCGTGGACGTGGACGTGGACGTGGACATGGTCGTGGACGTGGACGTGGACGTGGACGTGGACGGGGACGTGGACGTGGACGTGGACGTGGACGTGGACGTGGACGTGGACGTGGACTTGGACGTGGACGTGGACGTGGACGTGGACGTGGACGTGGACATGGACGTGGACGTGGACGTGGACGTGGACGTGGACGTGGACGTGGACATGGACGTGGACGTGGACGTGGACGTGGACGTGGACGTGGACATGGACGTGGACGTGGACGTGGACGTGGACGTGGACGTGGACGTGGACGTGGACGTGGACATGGTCGTGGACGTGGACGTGGACGTGGACGTGGACGTGGACGTGGACATGGACGTTGGACGTGGACATGGACGTGGACATGGACGTGGACGTGGACATGGACGTGGACGTGGACGTTGACATGGACGAAGACGTGGACATGGACGTGGACGTGGACGTGGACATGGACGTGGACGTGGACGTGGACGTGGACCTGGACATGGACGTGGACGTGGACGTGGACGTGGACGTGGACGTGGACGTGGACATGGACGTGGAGGACTTGGACGTGGACGTGGACATGGACGTGGACGTGGACATGGACGTGGACGTGGACGTGGACGTGGACGTGGACGTGGACGTGGACATGGGCGTGGACGTGGACGTGGACATGGACGTGGACGTGGACATGGACGTGGACATGGACGTGGACGTGGACATGGACGTGGACGTGGACGTGGACATGGACGTGGACATGGACGTGGACATGGTGGTGGACGTGGACGTGGACGTGGACATGGTCGTGGACGTGGACGTGGACGTGGATGTGGACATGGACATGGTCGTGGACGTGGACGTGGACATGGACGTGGACATGGACGTGGACATGGACGTGGACGTGGACGTGGACATGGACGTGGACGTGGACGTGGACGTGGACGTGGACATGGACGTGGACATGGACGTGGACATGGACGTGGACATGGACGTGGACGTGGACGTGGACGTGGACGTGGACATGGACATGGACGTGGACATGGACGTGGACGTGGACGTGGACGTGGACGTGGACTTGGACGTGGACGTGGACGTGGACGTGGACGTGGACGTGGACATGGACGTGGACGTGGACGTGGACGAGGACGTGGACGTGGACGTGGACATGGACGTGGACGTGGACGTGGACGTGGACGTGGACATGGACGTGGACGTGGACGTGGACGTGGACGTGGACGTGGACGTGGACGTGGACGTGGACATGGTCGTGGACGTGGACGTGGACGTGGACGTGGACGTGGACGTGGACATGGACGTTGGACGTGGACGTGGACGTGGACGTGGACGTGGACATGGACGTGGACGTGGACGTGGAGGACTTGGACGTGGACATGGAGGTGGACGTGGACGTGGACGTGGACGTGGACCTGGACGTGGACATGGACGTGGACGTGGACATGGACGTGGATGTGGACGTGGACGTGGACATGGACGTGGACGTGGACGTGGACATGGACGTGGACATGGACGTGGACGAGGACGTGGACGTGGACGTGGACATGGTCGTGGACGTGGACGTGGATGTAGACGTGGACGTGGACGTGGTCGTGGACGTGGACGTGGACATGGACGTGGACGTGGACATGGACGTGGACGTGGACGTGGAGGACTTGGACGTGGACATGGATGTGGACGTGGACGTGGACATGGACGTGGTCGTGGACGTGGACGTGGACATGGACGTGGACGTGGACGTGGACGTGGACGTGGACGAGGACATGGACGTGGACATGGACGTGGACGTGGACATGGACGTGGACATGGACGTGGACGTGGACATGGACGTGGACGTGGACGTGGACGTTGACATGGACGTGGACGTGGACATGGACGTGGACGTGGACGTGGACATGGACGTGGACGTGGACGTGGACCTGGACCTGGACATGGACGTGGAAGTGGACGTGGACGTGGAGGACTTGGACGTGGACATGGACGTGGACGTGGACGTGGACGTGGACGTGGAGGTGGACGTGGACGTGGACGTGGACGTGGAGGACTTGGACATGGACATGGACGTGGACGTTGAGGACTTGGACGTGGACATGGACGTGGACGTGGACGTGGACGTGGACGAGGACATGGACGTGGACATGGACGTGGACGTGGACATGGACGTGGACATGGACGTGGACGTCGACATGGACGTGGACGTGGACGTTGACATGGACGTGGACGTGGACATGGACGTGGACGTGGACGTGGACATGGACGTGGACGTGGACGTGGATGTGGACCTGGACATGGACGTGGACGTGGACGTCGAAGTGGACGTGGACGTGGACGTGGACGTTGACATGGACATGGAGGACTTGGACGTGGACGTGGACATGGACGTGGACGTGGACATGGACGTGGACGTGGACGTGGACATGGACGTGGACATGGACGTGGACGTGGACGTGGACATGGACGTGGACATGGACGTGGACATGTACGTGGACGTGAACGTGGACGTGGACATGGACGTGGACGTGGACATGGACGTGGACATGGACGTGAACATGGTGGTGGACATGGACGTGGACGTGGACATGGTCGTGGACGTGGACGTGGATGTGGACGTGGACATGGACGTGGACGTGGACGTGAACGTGGGCATGGACGTGGACATGGACGTGAACGTGGACATGGACGTGGACATGGACGTAGACGTGGACGTGGACGTGGAGGTGGACGTGGACATGGACGTGGACATGGACGTGGACGTGGACATGGACGTGGACATGGACGTGGACGTGGACATGGACGAGGACGTGGACGTGGGCGTTGACATGGACATGGACGTGGACATGGACGTGGACGTGGACGTGGACATGGACGTGGACGTGGACGTGGTGCTGGACATGGACGTGGACGTGGAAGTGGACGTGGACGTGGACGTGGACGTGGACATGGATGTGGAGGACTTGGACGTGGACGTGGACATGGACGTGGACGTGGACATGGACGTGGACGTGGACGTGGACGTGGACATGGACGTGGACGTGGACGTGGACATGGACGTGGACGTGGACGTGGACATGGACGTGGACGTGGACGTGGACCTAGACGTGGACATGGACGTGGACGTGGACGTGGACGTGGACGTGGACATGGACGTGGACATGGACGTGGACATGGACATGGACGTGGACATGGACGTGGACATGGACGTGGACGTGGACATGGACGTGGACATGGACGTGGACGTGGACGTGGACATGGACGTGGACGTGGACGTGGCCGTGGACATGGACGTGGACATGGACGTGGACATGGACGTGGATGTGGACATGGACGTGGACATGGACGTGGACGTGGACGTGGACGTGGACATTGACGTGGACATGGACGTAGACGTGGACGTGGACGTGGACGTGAACGTGGACGTTGACGTGGACGTGGACGTGGACATAGACGTGGACGTGGACGTGGACGTGGACATGGACGTGGACGTGGACGTGGACATGGTCGTGGACGTGGACGTGGACGTGGACGTGGACGTAGACGTGGACGTGGACGTGGACATGGACGTGGACGTGGACGTGGACATGGTCGTGGCAAGGACGTGGACGTAGACGTGGACGTGGTCGTGGACGTGGAGGTTGACATGGACGTGGACGTGGCGTTGAGGACTTGGACGTGGACGTGGACGTGGACGTGGACGTGGACGTGGACGTGGACATGGACGTGGACATGGACGTGGACGTGGACATGGACGTAGACATGGACGTGGACGTGGACGTGGACGTGGACGTGGACATGGACGTGGACATGGACGTGGACGTGGACATGGACATGGACGTGGACGTGGACGTGGACATGGACGTGGACATGGACGTGGACGTGGACTTGGACGTGGACGTGGACATGGACGTGGACATGGACGTGGACATGGACGTGGACGTGGACATGGACGTGGACATGGACGTGGACGTGGACATGGACGTGGACGTGGACGTGGACGTGGACGTGGACATGGACGTGGACATGGACGTGGACGTGGACATGGACGAGGACATGGACGTGGACATGGACGTGGACGTGGACATGGACGTGGACGTGGACGTGGACATGGACATGGACGTGGACGTGGACATGGACGTGGACGTGGACATGGACATGGACCGTGGACATGGACGTGGACGTGGACATGGACGTGGACGTGGACATGGACGTGGACGTGGACATGGACGTGGACATGGACGTGGACGTGGTTGTGGACGTGGAGGTTGACGTGGACGTGGACGTGGCGTTGAGGACTTGGACGTCCACATGGACCTGGACGTGGACGTGGACGTGGACGTGGACGTGGACATGGACGTGGACATGGACGTGGACGTGGACATGGACGAGGACATGGACGTGGACGTGGCGTTGAGGACTTGGACGTCCACATGGACATGGTCGTGGACGTGGACGTGGACGTGGACATGGACGTGGACATGGACGTGGACGTGGACGTGGACATGGATGTGGACGTGGACGTGGAGGTGGACGTGGACATGGACGTGGACATGGACGTGGACGTGGACATGGACGTGGACGTGGACGTGGACATGGAGGTGGACGTGGAGGTGGACGTGGACATGGACGTGGACGTGGACGTGGACATGGACGTGGACGTCGACATGGACGTGGACGTTGACGTGGCCGTGGACATGGACGTGGACATGGACGTGGACATGGACGTGGACATGGACGTGGACGTGGACGTTGACGTGGACATGGACTTGGACGTGGACGTGGACGTGGACATGGACGTGGACGTGGACGTGGACATGGAAGTGGACGTGGACGTGGACCTGGACGTGGACGTGGACGTGGACGTGGACCTGTACGTGGACATGGACGTGGACGTGGACGTGGATGTGGACGTGGATGTGGACGTGGACATGGATGTGGACATGGACGTGGACGTGGACGTGGACGTGGACGTGGACATGGTCGTGGACGTGGACGTGGACGTGGACGTGGACGTGGACGTGGTCGTGGACGTGGACGTGGTCGTGGACGTGGACGTGGACGTGGACATGGACGTGGACGTGGACGTGGAGGACTTGGACGTGGACATGGACGTGGACGTGGACGTGGACGTGGTTGTGGACGTGGACGTGGACGTGGACGTGGACGTGGACGTGGACGTGGAGGACTTGGACATAGACATGGACGTAGACGTGGAGGACTTGGACGTGGACATGGACGTGGACATGGACGTGGACGTGGACGTGGACGTGGACGTGGACGAGGACATGGACGTGGACATGGACGTGGACGTGGACATGGACGTGGACATGGACGTGGACGTGGACATGGACGAGGACGTGGACGTGGACGTTGACATGGACATGGACGTGGACATGGACGTGGACGTGGACGTGGACATGGACGTGGACGTGGACGTGGACGTGGACCTGGACATGGACGTGGACGTGGACGTGGAAGTGGACGTGGACGTGGACGTGGACATGGATGTGGAGGACTTGGACGTGGACGTGGACATGGACGTGGACGTGGACATGGACGTGGACGTGGACGTGGACGTGGACGTGGACATGGACGTGGACGTGGACGTGGACATGGACGTGGACGTGGACGTGGACATGGACGTGGACGTGGACGTGGACGTGGACGTGGACATGGACGTGGACGTGGACGTGGACGTGGACATGGACATGGACGTGGACATGGACGTGGACATGGACGTGGACATGGACGTGGACGTGGACATGGACGTGGACATGGACGTGGACGTGGACGTGGACATGGACGTGGACGTGGACGTGGCCGTGGACATGGACGTGGACATGGATGTGGACATGGACGTGGATGTGGACATGGACGTGGACATGGACGTGGACGTGGACGTGGACATTGACGTGGACATGGACGTAGATGTGGACGTGGACGTGGACATGGACGTAGACGTGGACGTGGACATGGACGTGGACGTGGACGTGGAGGACTTGGACGTGGACATGGACGTGGACGTGGACGTGGATATGGTCGTGGACGTGGACGTGGACGTGGACATGGACGTAGACGTGGACGTGGACATGGACGTGGACGTGGACGTGGACGTGGACATGGACGTGGACATGGACGTGGACGTGGACGTGGACGTGGACATGGAGTGGACGTGGACGTGAGGACATGGACGTGGACATGGACGTGGACATGGACGTGGACGTGGTCGTGGACGTGGAGGTTGACGTGGACGTGGACGTGGCGTTGAGGACTTGGACGTCCACATGGACATGGACGTGGACGTGGACGTGGACGTGGACATGGACGTGGACATGGACGTGGACGTGGACATGGACGAGGACATGGACGTGGACGTGGCGTTGAGGACTTGGACGTCCACATGGACATGGTCGTGGACGTGGACGTGGACGTGGACGTGGACATGGACGTGGACATGGACGTGGACGTGGACGTGGACGTGGACATGGATGTGGACGTGGACGTGGACGTGGACATGGACGTGGACATGGACTTGGACGTGGACATGGACGTGGACGTGGACGTGGACATGGAGGTGGACGTGGAGGTGGACGTGGACATGGACGTGGACGTGGACGTGGACATGGACATGGACGTGGACATGGACGTGGACGTTGACGTGGCTGTGGACATGGACGTGGACATGGACGTGGACATGGACGTGGACGTGGACGTGGACGTGGACGTTGACGTGGACATGGACTTGGACGTGGATGTGGAAGTGGACATGGACGTGGACGTGGACATGGACGTGGACGTGGACGTGGACCTGGACGTGGACGTGGACATGGACGTGGACGTTGACGTGGCCGTGGACATGGACGTGGACATGGACGTGGACATGGACGTGGACATGGACGTGGACGTGGACGTTGACGTGGACATGGACTTGGACGTGGACGTGGACGTGGACATGGACGTGGACGTGGACATGGAAGTGGACGTGGACGTGGACCTGGACGTGGACGTGGACGTGGACGTGGACCTGTACGTGGACATGGACGTGGACGTGGACGTGGACGTGGACGTGGACGTGGATGTGGACGTGGACATGGATGTGGACATGGACGTGGACGTGGACGTGGACGTGGACGTGGACATGGTCGTGGACGTGGACGTGGACGTGGACGTGGACGTGGTCGTGGACGTGGACGTGGTCGTGGACGTGGACGTGGACGTGGACATGGACGTGGACGTGGACGTGGAGGACTTGGACGTGGACATGGACGTGGACGTGGACGTGGACGTGGTTGTGGACGTGGACGTGGACGTGGACGTGGACGTGGATGTGGACGTGGACGTGGACGTGGAGGACTTGGACATAGACATGGACGTAGACGTGGAGGACTTGGACGTGGACATGGACGTGGACATGGACGTGGACGTGGACGTGGACGTGGACGAGGACATGGACGTGGACATGGACGTGGACGTGGACATGGACGTGGACATGGACGTGGACGTGGACATGGACGAGGACGTGGACGTGGACATTGACATGGACATGGACGTGGACATGGACGTGGACGTGGACGTGGACATGGACGTGGACGTGGACGTTGACGTGGACCTGGACATGGACGTGGACGTGGACGTGGAAGTGGACGTGGACGTGGACGTGGACGTGGACATGGATGTGGAGGACTTGGACATGGACGTGGACATGGACGTGGACGTGGACATGGACGTGGACGTGGACGTGGACGTGGACATGGACGTGGACGTGGACGTGGACATGGACGTGGACGTGGACGTGGACATGGACGTGGACGTGGACGTGGACCTGGACGTGGACATGGACGTGGACGTGGACGTGGACGTGGACGTGGACATGGACGTGGACATGGACGTGGACATGGACATGGACGTGGACATGGACGTGGACATGGACATGGACGTGGACATGGACGTGGACATGGACGTGGACGTGGACGTGGACATGGACGTGGACGTGGACGTGGCCGTGGACATGGACGTGGACATGGACGTGGACATGGACGTGGATGTGGACATGGACGTGGACATGGACGTGGACGTGGACGTGGACGTGGACATTGACGTGGACATGGACGTAGATGTGGACGTGGACGTGGACATGGACGTAGACGTGGACGTGGACATGGACGTGGACGTGGACGTGGAGGACTTGGACGTGGACATGGACGTGGACGTGGACGTGGACATGGTCGTGGACGTGGACGTGGACGTGGACATGGACGTAGACGTGGACGTGGACATGGACGTGGACGTGGACGTGGACGTGGACATGGACGTGGACATGGACGTGGACGTGGACGTGGACGTGGACATGGACGTGGACGTGGACGTGGACATGGACGTGGACATGGACGTGGACATGGACGTGGACGTGGTCGTGGACGTGGAGGTTGACGTGGACGTGGACGTGGCGTTGAGGACTTGGACGTCCACATGGACGTGGACGTGGACGTGGACGTGGACGTGGACATGGACGTGGACATGGACGTGGACGTGGACATGGACGAGGACATGGACGTGGACGTGGACATGGACGTGGACATGGACGTGGACGTGGACGTGGACATGGATGTGGACGTGGACGTGGACGTGGACATGGACGTGGACATGGACGTGGACGTGGACATGGACGTGGACGTGGACGTGGACATGGAGGTGGACGTGGAGGTGGACGTGGACATGGACGTGGACGTGGACGTGGACATGGACATGGACGTGGACATGGACGTGGACGTTGACGTGGCTGTTGACATGGACGTGGACATGGACGTGGACATGGACGTGGACGTGGACGTGGACGTGGACGTTGACGTGGACATGGACTTGGACGTGGACGTGGAAGTGGACATGGACGTGGACGTGGACATGGACGTGGACGTGGACGTGGACCTGGACGTGGACGTGAACGTGGACGTGGACCTGGACGTGGACATGGACGTGGACGTGGACGTGGATGTGGACCTGGACGTGGATGTGGACGTGGACATGGACGTGGACATGGACGTGGACGTGGACGTGGACGTGGACGTGGACATGGTCGTGGACGTGGACGTGGACGTGGACGTGGACGTGGACGTGGTCGTGGACGTGGACGTGGACGTGGACGTGGACGTGGACATGGACGTGGACGTGGACGTGGAGGACTTGGACGTGGACATGGACGTGGACGTGGACGTGGACGTGGTCGTGGACGTGGACGTGGACGTGGATGTGGAGGTGGACGTGGACGTGGACGTGGAGGACTTGGACATAGACATGGACGTGGACGTGGAGGACTTGGACGTGGACATGGACGTGGACGTGGATGTGGACGTGGACGTGGACGTGGACGAGGACATGGACGTGGACATGGACGTGGACGGGACATGGACGTGGACATGGTCGTGGACGTGGACATGGACGTGGACGTGGACGTGGACGTTGACATGGACGTGGACGTGGACATGGACGTGGATGTGGACGTGGACATGGACGTGGACGTGGACGTGGACGTGGACCTGGACATGGACGTGGACGTGGACGTGGAAGTGGACGTGGACGTGGACGTGGACGTGGACATGGACGTGGAGGACTTGGACGTGGCAGAGACATGGACGTGGACGTGGACATGGACGTGGACGTGGACGTGGACGTGGACGTGGACATGGACGTGGACGTGGACGTGGACATGGACGTGGACGTGGACATGGACGTGGACGTGGACGTGGACATGGACGTGGACGTGGACGTGGACATGGACGTGGACGTGGACATGGACGTGAACGTGGACGTGGACATGGACGTGGACATGGACGAGGACATGGACGTGGACGTGGCGTTGAGGACTTGGACGTCCACATGGACATGGTCGTGGACGTGGATGTGGACGTGGACGTGGACATGGACGTGGACATGGACGCGGACGTGGACGTGGACGTGGACATGGACGTGGACGTGGACATGGACGTGGACATGGACGTGGACGTGGACATGGACGTGGACGTGGACATGGAGGTGGACGTGGAGGTGGACGTGGACATGGAAGTGGACGTGGACGTGGACATGGACGTGGACGTGGACATGGACGTGGACGTTGACGTGGCCGTGGACATGGACGTGGACATGGACGTGGACATGGACGTGGACGTCGACGTGGACGTAGATGTGGACGTTGACATGGACATGGACTTGGACGTGGACGTGGACGTGGACGTGGACCTGGACGTGGACGTGGACGTGGACGTGGACCTGGACGTGGACATGGACGTGGACGTGGACGTGGACGTGGATGTGGACGTGGACATGGACGTGGACATGGACGTGGACGTGGACGTGGACGTGGACATGGACATGGTCGTGGACGTGGACGTGGACGTGGTCGTGGACGTGGACGTGGACGTGGACGTGGACGTGGACATGGACGTGGACGTGGAGGACTTGGACGTGGACTTGGACGTGGACGTGGACGTGGACGTGGACATGGATGTGGTCGTGGACGTAGACGTGGACGTGGACGTGGACGTGGACGTGGAGGTGGACGTGGACATGGACGTGGACGTGGAGGACTTGGACATGGACATGAACGTGGACGTGGAGGACTTGGACGTGGACATGGACGTGGACGTGGACGTGGACGTGGACGAGGACATGGACGTGGACATGGACGTGGACGTGGACATGGACGTGGACATGGACGTGGACGTGGACATGGACGTGGACGTGGACGTGGACGTTGACAGGGACGTGGACGTGGACATGGACGTGGACGTGGACATGGACGTGGACGTGGACGTGGACGTGGACCTGGACATGGACGTGGACGTGGACGTGGAAGTGGACGTGGACGTGGACATGGACGTGGACATGGACGTGGAGGACTTGGACGTGGACGTGGACGTGGACATGGACGTGGACGTGGACGTGGACGTGGACGTGGACATGGACGTGGACGTGGACGTGGACGTGGACGTGGACAGGGACGTGGACGTGGACGTGGACGTGAACGTGGACGTGGAGGTGGACAAGGAGGACTTGGACGTGGACATGGACGTGGACGTGGACGTGGACGTGGACGTGGACATGGACGTGGACGTGGCCGTGGACGTGGACGTGGACGTGGACGTAGACGTAGACGTGGTCGTGGACGTGGTCGTGGACGTGGACGTGGACGTGGACATGGACGTAGACGTGGACGTGGACGTGGACGTGGACATGGTCGTGGACGTGGACGTGGACGTGGACGTGGACGTGGTCGTGGACGTGGACGTGGACGTGGACGTGGACGTGGACGTGGACATGGACGTGGACATGGACATGGACGTGGACGTGGACATGGACGTGGACGTGGACGAGGACGTGGACGTGGACGTGGACGTGGACGTGGACGTGGACATGGACGTGGACGTGGACGTGGACGTGGACATGGTCGTGGACGTGGACGTGGACGTGGACGTGGACGTGGATGTGGACGTGGACGTGGACGTGGACGTGGACATGGTCGTGGACGTGGACGTGGACGTGGACGAGGACGTGGACGTGGACATGGACGTGGACGTGGACGTGGACGTGGACGTGGACATGGTCGTGGACGTGGACGTGGACGTGGACGTGGACATGGTCGTGGACGTGGATGTGGACGTGGACGTGGACGTGGACGTGGACGTCGACGTGGACGTGGACATGGTCGTGGACGACGTGGACGTGGACGTGGACGTGGTCGTGGACGTGGAGGTTGACGTGGACGTGGAGGTTGACGTGGACATGGACGTGGCGTTGAGGACTTGGACGTCCACATGGACGTGGACGTGGACGTGGACGTGGACGTGGACATGGACGTGGACATGGACGTGGACATAGACGAGGACATGGACGTGGACATGGACGTGGACGTTGACATGGACGTGGACGTGGACATGGACGTGGACGTGGACGTGGACATGGACGTGGACGTGGACGTGGACGTGGACCTGGACATGGACGTGGACGTGGAAGTGGACGTGGACGTGGACGTGGACGTGGACATGGACGTGGAGGACTTGGACGTGGACGTGGACGTGGACATGGACGTGGACGTGGACGTGGACGTGGACGTGGACATGGACGTGGATGTGGACGTGGACGTAGACCTGGAGGTGGTCGTGGACGTGGACGTGGCCGTGAAGGTGGACGTGGACCCGGACGTGGACGTGGACCTGGACGTGGACGTGGACGTGGACCTGGACTTGGACGTGGACGTGGACGTCGACGTGGTCGTGGAGTGGACGTGGTCGTGGACGTGGACATGGACGTGGACGTGGTCGTGGACGTGGACGTGGACGTGGACTTGGTCGTGGACGTGGTCGTGGACGTGGACGTGGACGTGGTCGTGGACGTGGAGGACTAGACGTGGACGTGGACGTGGACGTGGTCGTGGAGGTGGAGGACTTAAACGTGGACGTGGACGTGGAGGACTCGGACGTGGACGTGGACCTGGACGTGGACGTGGACGTGGTCGTGGACGTGGACGTGGTCGTGGACGTGGTCATGAATGTGGACGTACATGGACGTGGACGTACATGGTCGTGGACGTCGACGTATATGTGGACGTGGTCGTGGACGTGGTCGTGCGGTCGTGGACGCGGTCGCGGACTCGGTCCTGGACGTAGACTCGGACGGGGGCGGACGTGGACGCGTTCGTGGGGGCGGACGTGGACACGGTCGTGGACGCGGACGCGGACACGGACGCGGTCGCGGAAGTGGATGCGGACGTGGAGGACATGGATGTGGACGTGGTCGTGGACGTGGTCATGGACGTGGACCTGGACGTGGACATGGACGTGGACGTGGACGTGGTGGAGGACGTGGACGTGGACGTGGAGGACTTCAACGTGGACGTGGTGGAGGACGTGGACGTGGACGTGGACGTGGACACGGACGTGGTCGTGGACGTGGACGCGGACGTGGACCTGGACTTGGACGTGGACGTGGACGTGGTCGTGGACGTGGACGTGGTCGTGGACGTGGTCGTGGACGTGGACGTGGTCGTCTACGACGTGGACTTGGACGTGGACGTGGACGTGGACGTGGTCGTGGACGTGGAGGACTTGGACGTGGACGTGGACTGGACGTGGACATGGACGTGGACGTGGACGTGGGCATAGACGTGGTCGTGGACGTGGACGTGGATGTGGTCGTGGGCGTGGTCATAGACGTGGACGTGGTCGTCCACGACATGGACTTGGACGTGGACGTGGACGTGGTTGTGGACGTGGAGGACTTGGACTTGCACGTGGACATGGACGTGGACGTGGACGTGGTCTTGGACGTGGACGTGGTCGTGGAGGACGTGGATGTGGACGTGGAGGACTTCGACGTGGACGTGGACGTGGACGTGGACCTGGACGTGGACGTGGACGTGGACGTGGTCGTGGTCGTGGTCGCGTACGTGGACGTGGACGTGGACGTGGACGTGGACATGGACGTGGACGTGGACGTGGACGTGGACGTGGACATGGACGTGGACGTGGACGTGGACATGGACGTGGACGTGGACGTGGACATGGACGTGGACGTGGACGTGGACGTGGACGTGGTGATGTCGTGGTCGTGGACGTGGACGTGGACGTGGACGTGGTCGTGGACGTGGACGTGGACGTTGACATGGACATGGACGTGGACGTGGACGTGGACGTGGAGGACTTGGACGTGGTCATGGACAAGGACGTGGACGTGGACGTGGACGTGGATTTGGAGGTGGTCGTGGACGTGGACGTGGTCGTGGACGTGGACGTGGACCTGGACGTGGACGTGGACGTGGACCTGGACGTGGACGTGGACGTGGACCTGGACTTGGACGTGGACGTGGACGTCGACGTGGTCGCGGAGTGGACGTGGTCGTGGACGTAGACGTGGACGTGGACGAGGTCGTGGACGTAGACGTGGACGTGGATGTTGACGTGGTCGTGGACGTGGTCGTGGTCATGGTCGTGGACCTGGTCGTGGTCGTGGACGTGGACGTGGTCGTGAACGTGGAGGACTTGGACGTGGACGTGGACGTGGTCAAGGACGTAGACGTGGTCGTGGACGTGGAGGACGTGGTCGTGGACGTGGTCGTGGACGTGGACGTGGACATGGACGTGGACGTGGACGTGGTCGAGGACGTGGACGTGGACGTGGACGTGGTCGTGGACGTGGTCGTGGACGTGGAGGACTGGACGTGGATGTGGACGTGGACATGGACGTGGTCGTGGAGGTGGAGGACTTGGACTTGGACGTGGACGTGGAGGACGTGGACGTGGACGTGGTCGTGGTCGTGGACGTGTTCGTGGACGTGGTCATGAATGTGGACGTACATGGACGTGGATGTACGTGGTCGTGGACGTTGACGTATATGTGGACGTGGTCGTGGATGTGGTCGTGCGGTCGCAGACGAGGTCGCGGACTCGGTCGTGGACGTAGACGCGGACGGGGGCGGACGTGGACGCGTTCGTGGGGGCGGACGTGGACGCGGTCGTGGACGCGGACGCGGACGCGCTCGCGGACGTGGACGCGGACGTGGACGCGGTCGTGGACGCTGGACGTGGACGTGGTCGTGATCGTGGACGTGGACGTGGTCGTGATCGTGGACCTGGACTTGGACGTGGACGTGGTCATGGACCTGGACGTGGACGTGGTCGTGGTCGTGGGCGTGGACACGTGGACGTGTACGTGGACGTGGACGTGGTCGTGGTCATGGACGTGGGCGTGGACGTGGACGTGGACGTGGTCGTGGACGTGGTCGTGGACGTGGACGTGGACGACGTGGACGTGGTCGTGGACGTAGAGGACGTGGACGTGGTCGTGGACGTGGACATGTCCACGTCTACGTCCGCGTCCACGACCATGTCCACGTCCACGCCCACGTCCACGTCCACGTCCATGTCCACTTCCACGTCCAGTCCACGTCCAGGTCCAAGTCCTCCACGTCCACGACCACGTCCACGTCCACGTCCACGTCCAAGTCCACGTTGTAGACGACCACGTCCACGTCCACGACCACGTCCAAGACCACGTCCACGTCCACGTCCACGACCACGTCCACGTCCACGTCCAAGTCCAGGTCCACGTCCGCGTCCACGTCCTCGACCACGTCCGCGTTGAAGTCCTCCACGTCCTCCACCACGTCCACGTCCATGTCCATGTCCACGTCCAGGTCCACGTCCATGACCATGTCCACGACCACGTCCACGTCCATGTCCTCCACGTCCACGTCCAAGTCCTCCACGTCCAAGTCCAAGTCCTCCACGTCCAAGACCACATCCACGTCCACGTCAACGTCAACATCCACGTCCACGTCCACGACCACGTCTACGTCCACGTCCACATCCACGTCCACGTCCACATACTCCACGTCCACGTCCTCCACGTCCACGTCCACGACCACGTCCACGACCACGTCCACGACCACGTCCATGTCCACGTCCACGTCCACGTCCACGTCCACGTCCGCGTCCACGTCCACGACCACGTCCACGTCCACGTTCAGTCCACGTCCTCCACCACGTCCACGTGCACGTCCACGTCCACGTCCATGACCACGTCCACGACCACGTCCACGTCCATGTCCTCCACGTCCACGTCCAAGTCCTCCACGTCCAAGTAAAAGTCCTCCACGTCCACGACCACGTCAACGACCACGTCCACGTCCACGACCACGTCCAAGTCACGTCCACGTCACGTCCACGTCCACGTCTATGTCCACGTCCACGACCACGTCCACGTCCACGACCACGTCTCGTCACGTCCACATCCACGTCCACGTCCACGTCCTCCACGTCCACGTCCTCAACGTCCACGTCCACGTCCACGACCACGTCCATGTCCACGTCCACGACCACGTCCACGTCCACGATCACGTCCATGTCCACGTCCACGACCACGTCCACGTCCACGATCACGTCTACGTCCACGTCCACGACCACGTCCACGTCCACGACCACGTCCACGTCCACGTCCACGTCCACGACCACGTCCACGTCCACGTCCACGTCCACGTCCACGACCACGTCCACGACCATGACCACGACCACGTCCACGACCACGTCAACGACCACGTCCACGACCACGTCAACGTCCACGTCCACGTCCACGTCCACGACCACGTCCACGTCCATGTCCACGTCCATGTGGACGTCCACGACCACGTCCACTCCATGACCACGTCCACATCCACGTCCACGTCCAAGTCCAGGTCCACGTCCACGACCACGTCAAGGTCCACGTCCACGTCCACGTCCACGTCCAGGTCCATGTCCACGTCCACGACCACGTCCACGTCCACGACCACCTCCACGTCCACCTCCACGTCCACGTCCATGTCCACGTCCAAGTCCTCCACGTCCACGACCACGTCCACGTCCACGTCCAAGTCCACGTCCACGTCCACGTCCACGTCCACGACCACGTCCACGTCCACGACCACGTCCACGTCCACGTCCACGTCCTCCACGTCCACGTCCACGACCACGTCCACGTCCACGTCCACGTCCACGTCCACGTCCAAATCCTCCATGTCCACGACCACGTCCACGTCCACGTCTACGTCCACGTCCACGTCCTCCATGTCCACGTCCACGTCCTCCACGTCCACGTCCTCCACGTCCACGTCCATGTCCAAGTCCTCCATGCCCACGACCATGTCCACGTCCACGTCTACGTCCATGTCCACATCCACGTCCTCCACGTCAAAGTACACGTCCTCCACGACCACGTCCACGTCCTCCACGACCACGTCCACGTCCACGTCCACGTCCACGTCCAGGTCCACGTCCACGTCCACGTCCACGACCACGTCCACGTCCACGTCCACGTCCACGTCCACGACCACGTCCACGTCCACGTCCACGTCCACGTCCCTGCCACGTCCATGTCCACGTCCAAGTCCAGGTCCACGTCCACGACCACGTCCAGGTCCACGTCCACGTCCACGTCCACGTCCAGGTCCATGTCCACGTCCACGACCACGTCCACGTCCACGACCACCTCCACGTCCACCTCCACGTCCACGTCCATGTCCACGTCCAAGTCCTCCACGTCCACGACCACGTCGACGTCCACGTCCACGTCCAAGTCCACGTCCACGTCCACGTCCACGTCCACAACCACGTCCACGTCCACGTCCACGACCACGTCCACGTCCACGTCCACGTCCTCCACGTCCACAACCACGTCCACGTCCACGTCCACGTCCACGTCCAAATCCTCCATGTCCACGACCACGTCCACGTCCACGTCTACGTCCACGTCCACGTCCTCCACGTCCACGTCCACGTCCTCCACGTCCACGTCCTCCACGTCCACGTCCACGTCCATGTCCACGTCCATGTCCAAGTCCTCCATGCCCACGACCATGTCCACGTCCACGTCTACGTCCATGTCCACATCCACGTCCTCCACGTCGACGTCCACGTCCTCCACGACCACGTCCACGTCCTCCACGACCACGTCCACGTCCACGTCCACGTCCACGACCACGTCCACGTCCACGTCCACGTCCACGTCCCTGTCCACGTCCACGTCCACGACCACGTCCACGTCCACGTCCACGTCCACGTCCACGACCACGTCCACGTCCACGTCCACGTCCACGTCCACGTCCCTGCCACGTCCATGTCCACTTCCACGTCCACGTCCCTGCCACGTCCACGTCCACGTCCACGTCCACGTCCATGTCCACGTCCACGTCCACGTCCACGTCCACGTCCACGTCCACGACCACGTCCACGACCACGTCCACGTCCATGTCCACGTCCACTTCCACGTCCACGTCCACGTCCACGACCACGTCCACGTCCACGTCCACGTCCACGTCCACGTCCACGTCCACGTCCACGTCCACGACCATGTCCACGTCCACGTCCACGTCCACGACCACGTCCACGTCCTCCACGTCCACGACCACGTCCACGTCGTCGACCACGACCACGACCACGTCCACGTCGTCGACCACGACCACGTCCACGTCCACGTCCACGTCCGCGTCCACGTCCACGTCCGCGTCTACGACCACGTCGACGTCCACGTCCGCGTCCATGACCGCGTCCACGTCCGCGTCCACGTCCGCGACCGCATCAGCGTCCGCGTCAACGACCGCGTCCACGTCCGCCCCCACGAACGCGTCCACGTCCGCCCCCGTCCGCGTCTACGTCCACGAACGAGTCCGCGACCGCGTCCGCGACCGCACCACCACGTCCACGACCACGTCCACATATACGTCGACGTCCACGACCACGTACGTCCACGTCCATGTACGTCCACATTCATGACCACGTCCACGACCACGTCCACGTTCACGACCACATCCACGTCCAGGTCCACGTCCACGTCCAAGTCCTCCACCTCCACGACCACGTCCATGTCCACGTCCACGTCCACGTCCAGTCCTCCACGTCCACGACCACGTCCACGTCCACGACCACGTCCACGTCCACGTCCACGACCTCGTCCACGCCGAGTCCTCCACGTCCACGACCACATCCACGTACACGTCCTCAACCACGTCCACGTCCACGTCCACGTCCACGTCCACGACCACGTCCACGTCCACGACCACGTCCTCCACGTCCACGACCACAACCACGTCTACGTCCACGACCATGTCCACATCCACGTCCAATTCCTCCACGTTCACGACCAGGTCCACGTCCACGTCCACGACCACGACCACGTCCACGACCATGACCACGTCCACGACCACGTCAACGTCCATGTCCACGTCCACGTCCACGACCACGTCCACGTCCACGTCCACGACCACGTCCACTCCACGACCATGTCGACGTCCACGTCCACGTCCAAGTCCAGGTCCTTGCCACGTCCATGTCCAGGTCCACGTCCACGTCCAGGTCCACGTCCACGACCACGTCCACGTCCACGACCACCTCCATGTCCACGTCCACGTCCACGTCCACGTCCATGTCCATGACCACGTCCAAGTCCTCCACGTCCACGACCACGTCCACGTCCACGTCCACGTCCACGTCCACGTCCACGACCACGTCCACGTCCACGACCACGTCCACGTCCACGTCCACGACCACGTCCACGTCCACGACCACGTCCACGTCCACGTCCACGTCCACGTCCACGACCACGTCCACGTCCACGACCACGTCCACGTCCACGTCCACGTCCACGTCCTCCACGACCACATCCACGTCCACGACCACGTCCACGTCCACGTCCAGGTCCACGTCCACATCCACGTCCACGTCTAAGTCCTCCACGTCCACGACCACGTCCATGTCCACGTCTACGTCCACGTCGTGGACAACCACGTCCACATCTCCGACCACGTCCACGACCACGACCATGTCCACGTCCATGTCCACGTCCACGTCCACGACCACGTCCTCCACGTCCACGACCACGACTACGTCCACGACCACGTCCACGTCCACGTCCAGGTCCGCGTCCACGACCACGCCCCCGTCCACGTCCAAGTCCTCCACGTTCACGACGACGTCCACGTCCACGTCCACGTCCACGACCACGTCCACCTCCAAGACCACGACCACGTCCACGACCACGACCACGTCCACGACCACATCAACGTCCACGTCCACATCCACGTCCACGTCCACGTCCACGATCACGTCTAGGTCCACGTCCACGTCCAAGTCCAGGTCCAAGTCCACGTCCACGTCCACGTCCACGTCCAGGTCCACGTCCAGGTCCACGTCCAAGTCCACGTCCACGTCCACGTCCACGTGCACGTCCTCCACGTCCAGGTCCAAGTCCTCCACGTCCACGTCCACGTCCACGTCCTCCACGACCACGTCGACGTCCACGACCATGTCCACGTCCACGTCCATGTCCACATCCACGTCCACGTCCTCCACGTCCACGTCCACGTCCTCCACGTCCACGTTCTCCACGTCCACGTCCAGGTCCACGTCAACGTCCTCCACCACGTCCACGTCCACGTCCACGTCCACGTCCAGGTCCACGTCCATGAACACGTCCACGACCACGTCGACGTCCACGTCCAAAACCTCCACCTCCACGACCACGTCCATGTCCACGTCCACGTCAACGTCCAGTCCTCCACGTCCACGACCACGTCCACGTCCACGACCACGTCCACGTCCACGTCCACGACCTCATCCACGCCAACTCCTCCACGTCCACGACCACATCCACGTACACGTCCTCAACCACGTCCACGTCCACGTCCACGTCCACGTCCACGTCCACGACCACGTCCACGTCCACGACCACGTCCTCCACGTCCACGACCACGACCACGTCTACGTCCACGACCATGTCCACATCCACGTCCAAGTCCTCCACGTTCACGACCAGGTCCACGTCCACGTCCACGACCACGACCACGTCCACGACCATGACCACTACCACGTCCACGACCACGTCAACGTCCATGTCCACGTCCACGTCCACGACCACGTCCACGTCCACGTCCACGACCACGTCCACTCCACGACCACGTCGACGTCCACGTCCACGTCCAAGTCCAGGTCCTTGCCACGTCCATGTCCACGTCCACGTCCACGTCCATGTCCACGTCCAGGTCCACGTCCACGTCCACGACCACGTCCACGTCCACGACCACCTCCAGGTCCACGTCCACGTCGAGGTCCACGTCCATGTCCACGTCCAAGTCCTTCACGTCCACGACCACGTCCACGTCCACAACCACGTCCACGTCCACGTCCACGTCCACGTCCACATCGACGACCACGTCCACGTCCACGACCACGTCCACGTCCACGTCCACGACCATGTCCACGTCCACGACCACGTCCAGGTCCACGTCCACGTCCACGACCACGTCCACGTCCACGACCACGTCCACGTCCACGTCCACGTCCACGTCCTCCACGACCACATCCACGTCCACGACCACGTCCACGTCCACGTCCACGTCCAGGTCCACGTCCACATCCACGTCCACGTCTAAGTCCTCCACGTCCACGACCACGTCCATGTCCACGTCCACGTCCACGTCGTGGACGACCACGTCCACGTCTCCGACCACGTCCACGACCACGACCACGTCCACGTCCATGTCCACGTCCACGTCCACGACCACGTCCTCCACGTCCACGACCACGACTACATCCACGACCACGTCCACGTCCACGTCCAGGTCCGCGTCCACGACCACGCCCCCGTCCACGTCCAAGTCCTCTACGTTCACGACGACGTCCACGTCCACGTCCACGTCCACGACCACGTCCACCTCCAAGACCACGACCACGTCCACGACCACGACCACGTCCACGACCACATCAACGTCCACGTCCACATCGACGTCCACGTCCACGTCCACGATCACGTCTAGGTCCACGTCCACGTCCAAGTCCAGGTCCAGGTCCACGTCCACGTCCACGTCCACGTCCAGGTCCACGTCCAGGTCCACGTCCAAGTCCACGTCCACGTCCACGTCCACGTCCTCCACGTCCAGGTCCAAGTCCTCCACGTCCACGTCCACGTCCACGTCCTCCACGACCACGTCGACGTCCACGACCACGTCCACGTCCACGTCCACGTCCACATCCACGTCCACGTCCTCCACGTCCACGTCCACGTCCTCCACGTCCACGTCCTCCACGTCCACGTCCAGGTCCACGTCAACGTCCTCCACCACGTCCACGTCCACGTCCACGTCCAGGTCCACGTCCATGAACACGTCCACGACCACGTCGACGTCCACGTCCAATTCCTCCACGTCCACGTCCAATTCCTCTACGTCCACGTCCAAGTCCTCCACATCCACGACCACGTCCACGTCCACGTCTACGTCCACGTCCACGATCACGTCGACGTCCACGTCCTCCACGTCCACGTCCTCCACGTCCACGTCCTCCATGTCCACGTCCACGTCCACGATCACGTCCAGGTCCACGTCCACGTCCACGACCACGTCCACGTCCACGTCCACGTCCACGACCACGTCCACGTCCACGTCCACAACCACGTCCACGTCCACGTCCACGTCCATGTCCACATCCAGGTTCACGTCCACGTCCAAGTTCACGTCCACGTCCACGTCCACGTCCGTGACCACGTCCACGTCCACGACCACGTCCACGTCCACGACCAGGTCCACGTCCCCGTCCACGTCCAAGTCCTCCACGTCCACGTCCACGTCCACGTCCACGTCCTCCACGACCACGTCCACGTCCTCAAGGACCACGTCGACGTCCACGTCCACGTCCACGACCATGTCCACGTCCACGTCCACGTCCACGTCCAAGTCCTCCACGTCCACGACCACGTCCACATCCACGTCCACATCCAAGTCCACGTCGTGGACGACCACGTCCACGTCTACGACCACGTCCACGACCACGACCTCGTCCACGTCCACGTCTACGTCCACGACCACGTCCACGTCCACGTCCATGTCCACGTCCAAGTCCTCCACGTCCACGACCACGTCCACGTCCACGTTAACGTCCACGTCCACGTCCACGTCCTCCACGTCCACGTCCACGTCCTCCACGTCCACGTCCTCCACGTCCACGTCCACGTCCACATCCACGTCCTCCACGTCCACGTCCTCCACGTCCACGTCCACGTCCACGTCCTCCACATCCACGTCCATGTCCACGTCCACGTCCACGTCCACGTCCACGACCACGTCCACGTCCACGTCCACGTCCACGACCACGTCCACGTTTACGTCCACGTCCACGACCACGTCCACGTCGACGACCACGTCCACATCCACGTCCAAGTCCACGTCCACGTCCACGTCCACGTCGAATTCCACGTCCACGTCCACGTCCACGTCCAAGTCCACGTCCACGTCCACGTCCACGTCCAAGTCCACGTCCACGTCCACGTCCACATCCACGTCCATGTCCACGACGACGTCCACGTCCACGTCCACGTCCACGTCCAATTTCACGTCCACGTCCACGATCACGTCCACGTCCACGACCATGTCCACGTCCACGTCCACCTCCAAGTCCTCCATGTCCACGACCACGTCCTCGTCCATGTTTACGTCCACGTCCACGTCCTCCATGACCACGTCCACGTCCAGGTCCACGTCCACGCCCACGTCCACGTCCGCGTCTACGTCCTCCACGTCCATGATCATGTCCACGTCCACGTCCACGTCCACGTCCACGACCACGACCAAGTCCAAGTCCACGGTGGCGACCACGTCCACGTCCATGTCCACGACCACGTCGACGTCCACATCCACGTCCACGTCCACGTCCAAGTCCTCCACGTCCACGACCACGTCCACGTCCACGTCCAAGTCCACGTCGTGGACGACCACGTCTACGTCCACGTCCAAGTCCAGGTCCACGTCCGCGTCCACGTCCATGACCACGTCCGCGTCCACGTCCACGTCCACGTCCACGTCAAAGTCCTCCACGTCCACGTCCACGTCCTCCACCACGTCCACGTCCACATTCACGTCCATGACCACGTCCACGACCATGTCCTCGACGTCCACGTCCAAGTCCTCCTCGTCCAAGTCCAAGTCCTCCATGTCCACAACCACGTCCACGTCCACGTCCACGTCAACGTCCACGTCCACGTCCACGACCACGTCCACGTCCACATCCACATCCACCTCCACGTCCTCCACGTCCACGTCCACGTCCTCCACGTCCACGTCCACGTCGACGTCCACGACCACGTCCACTCCACGACCACGTCCACATCCACGTCCACGTCCAAGTCCAGGTCCACGTCCACGTCCACGTCCAGGTCCACGTCCACGTCCAGGTCCACGTCCACGTCCACGACCACGTCCACGTCCACGACCACCTCCAGGTCCACGTCCACGTCCACGTCCACGTCCATGTCCACGTCCAAGTCCTCCACGTCCACGACCACGTCCACGTCCACGTCCAAGTCCACGTCCACGTCCACGTCCACGTCCACGACCACGTCCACGTCCACGACCACGTCCAAGTCCACGTCCACATCCACGACCACGTCCACGTCCACATCCACGTCCACGTCCACATCCACGTCCACGTCCTCCACGACCACGTCCCCATCCACGACCACGTCCACGTCCACGTCCACGTCCAGGTCCACGTCCACATCCACATCCACGTCCAAGTCCTCCACGTCCACGACCACGTCCATGTCCACGTCCACGACCACGTCCACGTCTACGACCACGTCCACGTCTACGACCACGTCCACGACCACGACCACGTCCACGTCCACGTCCACGACCACGTCCTCCACGTCCACGACAACGACCACGTCCACGACCACGTCCACGTCCAGGTCCACGTCCACGTCCACGACCACGTCCACGTCCACGTCCAAGTCCTCCACGTCCATGACCACGTCCACGACCACGTCCACGTCCACGTCCAAGTCCTCCACGTCCACGACCACGTCCACGTCCACGTCCACGACCACGTCCACGTCCAAGACCATGACCACGTCCACGACCACGACCACGACCACGTCCACGACCACGTCAACGTCCACGTCCACATCTACGTCCACGTCCAGGTCCACGTCCACGACCACGTCCACGTCCACGTCGACGTGCACGACCACGTCCACTCCACAACCACGTCCACGTCCACGTCCAAGTCCAGGTCCAGGTCCACGTCCACGTCCACGTCCAGGTCCACGTCCACGTCCACGTCCAAGTCCACGTCCACGTCCACGTCCACGTCCACGTCCACGTCCACGTCCATGTTCACGTCCACGTCCACGTCCACGTCCACGTCCACGTCCACGTCCATGTTCACGTCCACGTCCACGTCCACGTCCACGTCCATGTCCACGTCCACGTCCACGTCCTCGACCATGTCCACGTCCACGTCCACGTCCACGTCCACGACCATGTCCACGTCCACGTCCACGTCCATGTCCAAGTCCACGTCCACGTCCACGTCCATGTCCACGTCCACGTCCACGTCCACGTCTACGTCCACGTCCACGTCCACGTCCACGTCCACGTCCACGTCCACGTCCATGTCCTCGTCCACGTCCATGTCCACGTCCATGTCCACGTCCACGTCCACGTCCACGTCCATGTCCATGTCCACGTCCAAGTCCACGTCCACGTCCACGTCCACGTCCACGTCCACGTCCACGACCACGTCCACGTCCACGTCCACGTCCACGTCCACGTCCACATCCACGTCCATGTCCACGTCCAAGTCCTCCACGTCCACCACCACGTCCACGTCCACGTCAACGTCCACGTCCACGTCCACGTCCACGTCCTCCACGTCCACGTCCACGTCCTCCACGTCCACGTCCTCCACGTCCACGTCCACGTCCACGTCCACGTCCACGTCCTCCACGTCCACGTCCTCCACGTCCACGTCCACGTCCACGTCCTCCACATCCACGTCCATGTCCACGTCCACGTCCACGTCCACGTCCACGACCACGTCCACGTCCACGTCCACGTCCACGTCCACGTCCACGTCCACGTCCACGACCACGTCCACGTCGACGACCACGTCCACATCCACGTCCAAGTCCACGTCCACGTCCACGTCCACGTCCAATTCCACGTCCACGTCCACGTCCACGTCCAAGTCCACGTCCACGTCCACGTCCAAGTCCACGTCCACGTCCACGTCCACATCCACGTCCATGTCCACGACGACGTCCACGTCCACGTCCACGTCCACGTCCACGTCCACGTCCACGACCACGTCCACGACCACGTCCTCGTCCATGTTCACGTCCACGTCCACGTCCTCCATGACCACGTCCACGTCCAGGTCCACGTCCACGCCCACGTCCACGTCCGCGTCTACGTCCTCCACGTCCACGATCATATCCACGTCCACGTCCACGTCCACGACCACGACCAAGTCCAAGTCCACGGTGACGACCACGTCCACGTCCATGTCCACGACCACGTCCACGTCCACATCCACGTCCACGTCCAAGTCCTCCACGTCCACGACCACGTCCACGTCCACGTCCAAGTCCACGTCGTGGACGACCACGTCTACGTCCACGTCCAAGTCCAGGTCCACGTCCGCGTCCACGTCCACGACCACGTCCGCGTCCACGTCCACGTCCACGTCCACGTCAAAGTCCTCCACGTCCACGTCCACGTCCTCCACCACGTCCACGTCCACCTCCACGTTCACGTCCATGACCACGTCCACGACCATGTCCTCGACGTCCACGTCCAAGTCCTCCACGTCCAAGTCCAAGTCCTCCATGTCCACAACCACGTCCACGTCCACGTCCACGTCAACGTCCACGTCCACGACCACGTCCACGTCCACATCCACATCCACCTCCACGTCCTCCACGTCCACGTCCACGTCCTCCACGTCCACGTCCACGTCGACGTCCACGACCACGTCCACTCCACGACCACGTCCACATCCACGTCCACGTCCAAGTCCAGGTCCACGTCCACGTCCACGTCCAGGTCCACGTCCACGTCCAGGTCCACGTCCACGTCCACGACCACGTCCACGTCCACGACCACCTCCAGGTCCACGTCCACGTCCACGTCCACGTCCATGTCCACGTCCAAGTCCTCCACGTCCACGACCACGTCCACGTCCACGTCCACGTCCACGTCCAAGTCCACGTCCACGTCCACGTCCACGTCCACGACCACGTCCACGTCCACGACCACGTCCAAGTCCACGTCCACATCCACGACCACGTCCACGTCCACGTCCACGTCCACGTCCACATCCACGTCCACGTCCTCCACGACCACGTCCCCATCCACGACCACGTCCACGTCCACGTCCACGTCCAGGTCCACGTCCACATCCACATCCACGTCCAAGTCCTCCACGTCCACGACCACGTCCATGTCCACGTCCACGACCACGTCCACGTCTACGACCACGTCCACGTCTACGACCACGTCCACGACCACGACCACGTCCACGTCCACGTCCACGTCCACGACCACGTCCTCCACGTCCACGACAACGACCACGTCCACGACCACGTCCACGTCCAGGTCCACGTCCACGTCCATGACCACGTCCACGTCCACGTCCAAGTCCTCCACGTCCATGACCACGTCCACGACCACGTCCACGTCCACGTCCAAGTCCTCCACGTCCACGACCACGTCCACGTCCACGTCCACGACCACGTCCACGTCCAAGACCATGACCACGTCCACGACCACGACCACGACCACGTCCACGACCACGTCAACGTCCACGTCCACATCTACGTCCACGTCCAGGTCCACGTCCACGACCACGTCCACGTCCACGTCGACGTGCACGACCACGTCCACTCCACAACCACGTCCACGTCCACGTCCAAGTCCAGGTCCAGGTCCACGTCCACGTCCACGTCCAGGTCCACGTCCACGTCCACGTCCAAGTCCACGTCCACGTCCACGTCCACGTCCTCCACGTCCACATCCACGTCCACGTCCAGGTTCACGTCCACGTCCACGTCCACGTCCACGTCCACGACCACGTCCACGTCCACGTCCACGACCACGTCCATGTCCACGTCCACGTCCACGTCCACGTCCACGTCCACGTCCACGTCCACGTCCACGTCCAAGTCCACGTCCACGTCCACGTCCACGTCCACGTCTACGTCCACGTCCACGACCACGTCCACGTCCACGTCCACGTCCACGTCCACGTCCACGTCCATGTCCACGTCCAAGTCCTCCACGTCCACCACCACGTCTACGTCCACGTCCACATCAACGTCCACGTCCACGTCCACGTCCACGTCCTCCACGTCCACGTCCACGTCCTCCACGTCCACGTCCTCCACGTCCACGTCCACGTCCACGTCCACGACCACGTCCACGTCCACGTTCACGACCACGACCACGTCCATGTCCACCTCCACGTCCACGACCACGTCCACGTCCACGTCCATGTCCATGTCCATGTTCACGTCTACGTCCACGTCCACGTCCATGTCCACGTCCACGTCCACGTCCACATCCACGTCTACGACCACGTCCACGACCACGTCTACGTCTACGACCACATCCATGACCACGTCCACGTCCACGTCCACTTCCACGTCCACGTCCACGACCACGTTCACGTCCACGTCCACGTCCACGTCCACGTCCATGTTCACGTCCACGTCGACGTCCACGACCATGTCCACGTCCACGTCCACGTCCATGTCCACGTCCACGTCCATGTCCACGTTCACGTCCACGTCCATGTCCACGATCACGTCCACATCCTCGTCCACGTCCACGATCACGTCCACATCCTCGTCCACGTCCACGTCCACGTCCATGTCCACGTCCACGTCCACGTCCACGTCCACGTCCATGTCCTCGTCCACGTCCACGTCCACGTCCACGTCCACGACCATGTCCACGTCCACGTCCATGTCCACGTCCACGTCTATATCCACGTCCACGTCCACGTCCACGTCCACGTCCATGTCCTCGTCCACGTCCATGTCCTCGTCCACGTCCACGTCCACATCCTCGTCCATGTCCACGTCCACGTCCACGTCCACGTCCATGTCCTCGTCCACGTCCACGTCCACGTCCACGTCCACGACCATGTCCACGACCACGTCCACGTCCACGTCCACGTCCATGTCCACGTCCACGTCCACGTCCACGTCCACGTCCACGTCCACGTCTATGTCCACGTCCACGTCCACGTCCACGTCCACGTCCACGTCCATGTCCAAGTCCACGTCCACGTCCACGACCATGTCCATGTCCACGTCCACGTCCACGTCCATGTCCATGTCCACGTCCACGTCCACGTCCAGGTCCACGTCCATGTCCACGTCCACGTCCACGTCCACATCAACGTCCATGTCCACGTCCAAGTCCTCCACGTCCATGACCACGTCCACGTCCACGTCAACGTCCACGTCCACGATCACGTCCACATCCACGTCCACGTCCACGTCCATGTCCACGTCCATGTCCACGTCCACATCCACGTCCACGTCCATGTCCTCGTCCACGTCCACGTCCACGTTCTCGTCCACGTCCACGTCCACGTCCATGTCCACGTCCACGTCCACGTCCACATCCACGTCCATGTCCTCGTCCACGTCCACGTCCACGTCCACGTCCACGACCATGTCCACGTCCACGTCCATATCCACGTCCACGTCCACGTCCATGTCCACGTCCACGTCCACGTCCACGTCCACCTCCACGTCCATGTCCACGTCCACGTCCATGTCCACGTCCACGTCCACGTCCACGTCGACGTCCACGTCCATGTCCACGTCCACGTCCACGTCCATGTCCACGTCCACGTCCACGTCCACGTCCACGTCCACGTCCACGTCCACGACCACGTCCACGTCCACGTCCATATCCACGTCCACGTCCACGTCCATATCCACGTCTACGTCCACGTCCATGTCCACATCCACGTCCACGTCCATGTCCACGTCCACGTCCGCGTCCACGTCCACGTCCACGTCCACGTCCACGTCCACGTCCACGACCATGTCCACGTCCACGTCCACGTCCACGTCCACGTCCACGTCCAGGTCCATGTCCATGTCCACGTCCACGTCCACGTCCATATCAACGTCCATGTCCACGTCCAAGTCCTCCACGTCCATCACCACGTCCACGTCCACGTCAACGTCCACGTCCACGATCACGTCCACATCCACGTCCACGTCCACGTCCATGTCCACGTCCATGTCCACGTCCACGTCCACGTCCACGTCCACGTCCATGTCCTCGTCCACGTCCACGTCCACGTCCTCGTCCACGTCGACGTCCACGTCCATGTCCACGTCCACGTCCACGTCCACGTCCATGTCCTCGTCCACGTCCACGTCTACGTCCACGTCCACGACCACGTCCACGTCCACGTCCATATCCACGTGCACGTCCACGTCCACGTCCACGTCCACGTCCACGTCCACGTCCACCTCCATGTCCACGTCCACGTCCACCTCCATGTCCACGTCCACGTCCACGTCCACGTCCACGTCCATGTCCACGTCCACGTCCACGTCCACGTCCACGACCATGTCCACGTCCACGTCCACGTCCATGTCCACGTCCACGTCCACGTCCATGTCCATGTCCACGTCCACATCCACGTCCACGACCATGTCCACGTCCACGTCCACGTCCACGTCCACGTCAACGTCCATGTCCACGTCCAAGTCCTCCACGTCCACGACCACGTCCACGTCCACGTCCACGTCAACGTCCACGTCCACGATCACGTCCACATCCACGTCCACGTCCACGTCCATGTCCACGTCCCTGTCCTCGTCCACGTCCATGTCCACGTCCATGTCTTCGTCCACGTCCACGTCCACGTCCACGTCCACGTCCATGTCCACGTCCACGTCCACGTCCACGTCCACGTCCACGTCCACGACCATGTCCACGTCCACGTCCACTTCCACGTCCATGTTCACGTCCACGTCCACGTCCACGACCATGTCCACGTCCACGTCCACGTCCATGTCCACGTCCACGTCCATGTCCACGTTCACGTCCACGTCCATGTCCACGATCACGTCCACATCCTCGTCCACGTCCACGATCACGTCCACATCCTCGTCCACGTCCACGTCCACGTCCATGTCCACGTCCACGTCCACGTCCACGTCCACGTCCATGTCCTCGTCCACGTCCACGTCCACGTCCACGTCAACGTCCATGTCCACGTCCAAGTCCTCCACGTCCATCACCACGTCCACGTCCACGTCAACGTCCACGTCCACGATCACGTCCACATCCACGTCCACGTCCACGTCCATGTCCACGTCCATGTCCACGTCCACGTCCACGTCCACGTCCATGTCCTCGTCCACGTCCACGTCCACGTCCTCGTCCACGTCGACGTCCACGTCCATGTCCACGTCCACGTCCACGTCCACGTCCACGTCCATGTCCAAGTCCACGTCCACGTCCACGTCCATGTCCACGTCCACGTCCACGTCCACGTCTACGTCCACGTCCACGACCACGTCCACGTCCACGTCCACGTCCACGTCCACGTCCACGTCCATGTCCACGTCCAAGTCCTCCACGTCCACCACCACGTCCACGTCCACGTCAACGTCCACGTCCACGTCCACGTCCACGTCCTCCACGTCCACGTCCACGTCCTCCACGTCCACGTCCTCCACGTCCACGTCCACGTCCACGTCCACGACCACGTCCACGTCCACGTTCACGACCACGACCACGTCCATGTCCACCTCCACGTCCACGACCACGTCCACGTCCACGTCCATGTCCATGTCCATGTTCACGTCCACGTCCACGTCCACGTCCATGTCCACGTCCACGTCCACGTCCACATCCACGTCTACGACCACGTCCACGACCACGTCTACGTCTACGACCACATCCATGACCACGTCCACGTCCACTTCCACGTCCACGTCCACGACCACGTTCACGTCCACGTCCACGTCCACGTCCACGTCCATGTTCACGTCCACGTCGACGTCCACGACCATGTCCACGTCCACGTCCACGTTCATGTCCACGTCCACGTCCATGTCCACGTTCACGTCCACGTCCATGTCCACGATCACGTCCACATCTTCGTCCACGTCCACGATCACGTCCACATCCTCGTCCACGTCCACGTCCACGTCCATGTCCAGGTCCACGTCCACGTCCACGTCCACGTCCACGTCCATGTCCTCGTCCACGTCCACGTCCACGTCCACGTCCACGACCATGTCCACGTGTCCACGTCCACGTCTATATCCACGTCCACGTCCACGTCCACGTCCACGTCCACGTCCATGTCCTCGTCCACGTCCATGTCCTCGTCCACGTCCACGTCCACATCCTCGTCCATGTCCACGTCCACGTCCACGTCCACGTCCATGTCCTCGTCCACGTCCACGTCCACGTCCACGTCCACGACCATGTCCACGTCCACGACCACGTCCACGTCCACGTCCACGTCCATGTCCACGTCCACGTCCACGTCCACGTCCACGTCCACGTCCACGTCCACGTCCACGTCTATGTCCACGTCCACGTCCACGTCCACGTCCACGTCCACGTCCATGTCCAAGTCCACGTCCACGTCCACGACCATGTCCACGTCCACGTCCACGTCCACGTCCATGTCCATGTCCACGTCCACGTCCACGTCCAGGTCCATGTCCATGTCCACGTCCACGTCCACGTCCACATCAACGTCCATGTCCACGTCCAAGTCCTCGTCAACGTCCACGTCCACGATCACGTCCACATCCACGTCCACGTCCACGTCCATGTCCACGTCCATGTCCACGTCCACGTCCACGTCCACGTCCATGTCCTCGTCCACGTCCACGTCCACGTTCTCGTCCACGTCCACGTCCACGTCCATGTCCACGTCCACGTCCACGTCCACGTCCATGTCCTCGTCCACGTCCACGTCCACGTCCACGTCCACGACCATGTCCACGTCCACGTCCATATCCACGTCCACGTCCACGTCCATGTCCACGTCCACGTCCACGTCCACCTCCACGTCCATGTCCACGTCCACGTCCATGTCCACGTCCACGTCCACGTCCACGTCGACGTCCACGTCCATGTCCACGTCCACGTCCACGTCCATGTCCACGTCCACGTCCACGTCCACGTCCACGTCCACGTCCACGTCCACGTCCACGACCACGTCCACGTCCACGTCCACGTCCACGTCCATGTCCACGTCCACGTCCATATCCACGTCTACGTCCACGTCCACGTCCACGTCCATGTCCACGTCCACGTCCGCGTCCACGTCCACGTCCACGTCCACGTCCACGTCCACGTCCACGACCATGTCCACGTCCACGTCCACGTCCACGTCCACGTCCACGTCCAGGTCCATGTCCATGTCCACGTCCACGTCCACGTCCATATCAACGTCCATGTCCACGTCCAAGTCCTCCACACCCATCACCACGTCCACGTCCACGTCAACGTCCACGTCCACGATCACGTCCACATCCACGTCCACGTCCACGTCCATGTCCACGTCCATGTCCACGTCCACGTCCACGTCCACGTCCACGTCCATGTCCTCGTCCACGTCCACGTCCACGTCCTCGTCCACGTCGACGTCCACGTCCATGTCCACGTCCACGTCCACGTCTACGTCCATGTCCTCGTCCACGTCCACGTCTACGTCCACGTCCACGACCACGTCCACGTCCACGTCCATATCCACGTCCACGTCCACGTCCACGTCCACGTCCACGTCCACCTCCATGTCCATGTCCACGTCCACCTCCATGTCCACGTCCACGTCCACGTCCACGTCCACGTCCATGTCCACGTCCACGTCCACGTCCACGTCCACGACCATGTCCACGTCCACGTCCACGTCCACGTCCATGTCCACGTCCACGTCCACGTCCATGTCCACGTCCACGTCCACGTCCACGACCATGTCCACGTCCACGTCCACGTCCACGTCAACGTCCATGTCCACGTCCAAGTCCTCCACGTCCACGACCACGTCCACGTCCACGTCCACGTCAACGTCCACGTCCACGATCACGTCCACGTCCACGTCCACGTCCACGTCCATGTCCACGTCCATGTCTTCGTCCACGTCCACGTCCACGTCCACGTCCATGTCCACGTCCACGTCCACGTCCTCGTCCACGTCCACGTCCACGACCATGTCCACGTCCACGTCCACTTCCACGTCCATGTTCACGTCCACGTCCACATCCACGACCATGTCCACGTCCACGTCCACGTCCATGTCCACGTCCACGTCCATGTCCACGTTCACGTCCACGTCCATGTCCACGATCACGTCCACATCCTCGTCCACGTCCACGATCACGTCCACATCCTCGTCCACGTCCACGTCCACGTCCATGTCCACGTCCACGTCCACGTCCACGTCCACGTCCACGTCCACGTCCATGTCCTCGTCCACGTCCACGTCCACGTCCACGACCATGTCCACGTCCACGTCCATATCCACGTCCACGTCCACGTCCATGTCCACGTCCACGTCCACGTCCACGTCCACGTCCACGTCCACGTCCATGTCCTCGTCCACGTTCACGTCCACGTCCTCGTCCACGTCCACGTCCACGTCCATGTCCACGTCCACGTCCACGTCCACGTCCACGTCCATGTCCTCGTCCACGTCCACGTCCACGTCCACGTCCACGTCCACGTCCACGTCCACGTCCACGTCCATGTCCACGTCCACGTCCACGTCCACGTCCACGTCCACGTCCATGTCCACGTCCACGTCCACGTCCACGTCCACGTCCATGTCCACGTCCACGTCCACGTCCACGTCCATGTCCAAGTCCACGTCCACGTCCACGACCATGTCCACGTCCACGTCCACGTCCACGTCCATGTCCATGTCCACGTCCACGTCCACGTCCAGGTCCATGTCCATGTCCACGTCCACGTCCACGTCCACATCAACGTCCATGTCCACGTCTAAGTCCTCCACGTCCATGACCACTTCCACGTCCACGTCAACGTCCACGTCCACGATCACGTCCACATCCACGTCCACGTCCATGTCCACGTCCATGTCCACGTCCACGTCCACGTCCATGTCCTCGTCCACGTCCACGTCCTCGTCCACGTCCACGTCCATGTCCACGTCCACGTCCACGTCCACGTCCACGTCCATGTCCTCGTCCACGTCCACGTTCACGTCCACGTCCACGACCATGTCCACGTCCACGTCCATATCCACGTCCACGTCCACGTCCATGTCCACGTCCATGTCCACGTCCACGTCCACCTCCACATCCATGTCCACGTCCACGTCCACGTCCATGTCCACGTCCACGTCCACGTCGACGTCCACGTCCATGTCCACGTCCACGTCCACGTCCATGTCCACGTCCACGTCCACGTCCACGTCCACGTCCATGTCCACGTCCACGACCACGTCCACGTCCACGTCCATATCCACGTCCACGTCCACGTCCATATTTACGTCTACGTCCACGTCCATGTCCACATCCACGTCCACGTCCATGTCCACGTCCATGTCCATGTCCACGTCCACGTCCACGTCCACGTCCACGTCCATGTCCAAGTCCACGTCCACGTCCACGACCATGTCCACGTCCACGTCCACGTCCACGTCCATGTCCATGTCCACGTCCACGTCCACGTCCAAGTCCATGTCCATGTCCACGTCCACGTCCACGTCCACATCAACGTCCATCTCCACGTCCAAGTCCTCCACGTCCATGACCACGTCCACGTCCACGTCAACGTCCACGTCCACGATCACGTCCACATCCACGTCCACGTCCACGTCCATGTCCACGTCCATGTCCACGTCCACGTCCACGTCCATGTCCTCGTCCACGTCCACGTCCACGTCCTCGTCCACGTCCACGTCCACGTCCATGTCCACGTCCACGTCCACGTCCACGTCCACGTCCATGTCTTCGTCCACGTCCACGTCCACGTCCACGTCCACGACCATGTCCACGTCCACGTCCATATCCACGTCCACGTCCACGTCCATGTCCACGTCCACGTCCACGTCCACGTCCACCTCCACATCCATGTCCACGTCCACGTCCACGTCCACGTCCATGTCCACGTCCACGTCCACGTCGACGTCCACGTCCATGTCCACGTCCACGTCCATGTCCACGTCCACGTCCACGTCCACGTCCACGTCCACGTCCATGTCCACGTCCACGACCACGTCCACGTCCACGTCCATATCCACGTCCACGTCCACGTCCATATTTACGTCTACGTCCACGTCCATGTCCACATCCACGTCCACGTCCATGTCCACGTCCACGTCCACGTCCACGTCCACGTCCACGTCCACGTCCAAGTCCACGTCCACGTCCACGACCATGTCCACGTCCACGTCCACGTCCACGTCCACGTCCACGTCCAGGTCCATGTCCATGTCCACGTCCACGTCCACATCAACGTCCATGTCCACGTCCAAGTCCTCCACGTCCATCACCACGTCCACGTCCACGTCCACGTCAACGTCCACGTCCACGATCACGTCCACATCCACGTCCACGTCCACGTCCATGTCCACGTCCATGTCCACGTCCACGTCCACGTCCATGTCCTCGTCTACGTCCACGTCCACGTCCTCGTCCACGTCGACGTCCACGTCCATGTCCACGTCCACGTCCACGTCCACGTCCACGTCCACGTCCATGTCCTCGTCCACGTCCACGTCCATGTCCACGTCCACGACCACGTCCACGTCCACGTCCATATCCACGTCCACGTCCACGTCTATGTCCACGTCCACGTCCACGTCCACGTCCATGTCCACGTCCACGTCCACGTCCACGTCCACCTCCATGTCCACGTCCACGTCCACCTCCATGTCCACGTCCACGTCCACGTCCACGTCCATGTCCACGTCCACGTCCACGTCCACGTCCATGTCCACGTCCATGTCCACGTCCACGTCCACGACCATGTCCACGTCCACGTCCACGTCCACGTCCATGTCCACGTCCACGTCCACGTCCACGTCCATGTCCATGTCCACGTCCACGTCCACGTCCACGACCATGTCCACGTCCACGTCCACGTCCACGTCCACGTCAACGTCGATGTCCACGTCCAAGTCCTCCACGTCCACGACCACGTCCACGTCCACGTCAACGTCCACGTCCACGATCATGTCCACATCCACGTCCACGTCCACGTCCATGTCCACGTCCATGTCCTTGTCCACGTCGATGTCCACGTCCATGTCCACGTCCACGTCCACGTCCATGTCCACGTCCACGTCCACGTCCACGTCCATGTCCATGTCTATATCCACGTCCACGTCCACGTCCACCTCCACGTCCACGTCCACGTCCAAGTCCTCCTCGTCCACGACCACGTCCACGTCCACGTACACGACCACGTCCACGTCCACGTCCAAGACCATGACCACGTCCACGACCACGACCACGACCACGTCCACGACCACGTCAACGTCCACGTCCACATCTACGTCCACGTCCAGGTCCACGTCCACGACCACGTCCACGTCGACGTGCACGACCACGTCCACTCCACAACCACGTCCACGTCCACGTCCAAGTCCAGGTCCAGGTCCACGTCCACGTCCACGTCCACGTCCAGGTCCACGTCCACGTCCACGTCCAAGTCCACGTCCACGTCCATGTTCACGTCCATGTTCACGTCCACGTCCACGTCCACGTCCACGTCCATGTTCACGTCCACGTCCACGTCCATGTTCACGTCCACGTCCACGTCCACGTCCATGTTCACGTCCACGTCCACGTCCACGTCCACGTCCATGTTCACGTCTACGTCCACAACCACGTCCACGTCCACGTCAACGTCCACGCCCACGTCCACAACCACGTCCACGTCCACATCCACATCCACTTCCACGTCCTACACGTCCACGTCCACGTCCTCCACGTCCACATCCACGTCGACGTCCACGACCACGTCCACTCCACGACCACGTCCACATCCACATCCACGTCCAAGTCCAGGTCCACGTCCACGTCCACGTCCAGGTCCACGTCCACGTCCAGGTCCACGTCCACGTCCACGACCACGTCCACGACCACCTCCAGGTCCACGTCCACGTCCACGTCCACGTCCATGTCCACGTCCAAGTCCTCCACGTCCACGACCACGTCCACGTCCACATCCACGTCCAAGTCCACGTCCACGTCCACGTCCACGACCACGTCCACGACCACGTCCACGTCCACGTCCACATCCACGACCACGTCCACGTCCACGTCCACTTCCACGTCCACATCCACGTCCACGTCCTCCACGACCACGTCCCCGTCCACGACCACGTCCACGTCCACGTCCAGGTCCACGTCCACATCCACGTCCACGTCCAAGTCCTCCACGTCCACGACCACGTCCATGTCCACGTCCATGTCCACGTCCACGTCGTGGACGACCACGTCCACATCTACGACCACGTCCACGACCACGACCACGTCCACGTCCACGACCACGTCCTCCACGTCCACGACCACGTCCACGACCACGTCCACGTCAAGGTCCGCGTCCACGTCCACGACCACGTCCACGTCCACGTCCAAGTCCTCCACGTCCATGACCACGTCCACGACCACGTCAACGTCCACGTCCACGTCCACGTCCACGTCCAAGACCATGACCACGTCCACGACCACGACCACGTCCACGACCACGTCAACGTCCACGTCCACATCTACGTCCACGTCCAGGTCCACGTCCACGACCACGTCCATGTCCACGTCGACGTGCACGACCACGTCCACTCCACAACCACGTCCACGTCCACGTCCAAGTCCAGGTCCACGTCCACGTCCACGTCCACGTCCACGTCCACGTCCAGGTCCACGTCCACGTCCACGTTCAAGTCCACGTCCACGTCCACGTCCACGTCCTCCACCTCCACGTCCACGTCCACGTCCATGTTCACGTCCACGTCCACGTCCACGTCCACGTCCATGTCCACGTCCACGTCCACGTCCACGTCCACGACCACGTCCATGTCCACGTCCACGTCCACGTCCACGTCCACGTCCACGTCCACGTCCATGTCCACGTCCACGTCCACGTCCACGTCCATGTCCATGTCCAAGTCCTCCACGTCCACCACCACGTCCACGTTCACGTCCACGTCCACAACCATGTCCACGTCCATGTTCACGTCCACGTCCACGTCCACGTCCACGACCACGTCCACGTCCACGTCCACGTCCACGACCACGTCCACGTCCACGTCCACGTCCACGTCCATGTCCACGTCCACGTCCACGTCCACGTCCACGTCCACGTCCACGTCCACGTCCACGTCCACCTCCACGTCCACCTCCACGTCCACGTCCACGTCCACGTCCATGTCCACGTCCACGTCCACGTCCACGTCCATGTCCATATCCACGTCCACGTCCACGACCATGTCCACGTCCACGTCCACGTCCACGTCCACGTCAACGTCCATGTCCACGTCCAAGTCCTCCACGTCCACGTCCACGTCAACGTCAACGTCCACGTCCACGATCACGTCCACATCCACGTCCTCGTCTACGTCCATGTCCACGTCCATGTCCACGTCCACGTCCACGTCCACGTCCATGTCCTCGTCCACGTCCAAGTCCACGTCCACGTCCACGTCCACGACCGCGTCCACGTCCACATCCACGTCCACGTCTAGGTCCACGTCCACGACCACGTCCACGTCCACGTCGACGTGCACGACCACGTCCACTCCACAACCACGTCCACGTCCACGTCCAAGTCCAGGTCCAAGTCCAGGTCCACGTCCACGTCCACGTCCACGTCCAGGTCCACGTCCACGTCCAAGTCCACGTCCACGTCCACGTCCACGTCCATGTTCACGTCCATGTTCACGTCCACGTCCACGTCCACGTCCATGTTCACGTCCACGTCCACGTCCATGTTCACGTCCACGTCCACGTCCATGTTCACGTCCACGTCCACGTCCACGTCCACATCCATGTTCACGTCCACGTCCAAGTCCAAGTCCTCCATGTCCACAACCACGTCCACGTCCACGTCAACGTCCACGTCCACGTCCACAACCACGTCCACGTCCACATCCACATCCACTTCCACGTCCTACACGTCCACGTCCACGTCCTCCACGTCCACGTCCACGTCGACGTCCACGACCACGTCCACTCCACGACCACGTCCACATCCACGTCCACGTCCACGTCCACGTCCAGGTCCACGTCCACGTCCAGGTCCACGTCCACGTCCACGACCACGTCCACGTCCACGACCACCTCTAGGTCCACGTCCACGTCCACGTCCACATCCATGTCCACGTCCAAGTCCTCCACGTCCACGACCACGTCCACGTCCTCGTCCACGTCCACGTCCAAGTCCACGTCCACGTCCACGTCCACGTCCACGACCACGTCCACGACCACGTCCACGTCCACGTCCACGTCCACATCCACGACCATGTCCACGTCCACGTCCACTTCCACGTCCACATCCACGTCCACGTCCTCCACGACCACGTCCCTGTCCACGACCACGTCCATGTCCACGTCCAGGTCCACGTCCACGTCCACGTCCAAGTCCACGACCACGTCTACGTCCACGTCCACGTCCACATCCACGACCATGTCCACGTCCACGTCCACATCCACGTCCACATCCACGTCCACGACCACGTCCATGTCCACGTCCATGTCCACGTCCACGTCGTGGACGACCACGTCCACATCTACGACCACGTCGACGACCACGACCACGTCCACGTTCACGTCCACGACCACGTCCTCCACGTCCACGACCACGTCCACGACCACGTCCACGTCCAGGTCCGCGTCCACGTCCACGACCACGTCCACGTCCACGTCCAAGTCCTCCACGTCCATGACCACGTCCACGACCACGTCCACGTCCACGTCCAAGTCCTCCACGTCCAGGACCACGACCACGTCCACGTCCACGACCACGTCCACGTCCAAGACCATGACCACGTCCACGACCACGACCACGTCCACGACCACGTCAACGTCCACGTCCACATCTACGTCCACGTCTAGGTCCACGTCCACGACCACGTCCATGTCCACGTCGACGTGCACGACCACGTCCACTCCACAACCACGTCCACGTCCACGTCCAAGTCCAGGTCCAGGTCCACGTCCACGTCCACGTCCACGTCCACGTCCAGGTCCACGTCCACGTCCACGTCCAAGTCCACGTCCACGTCCACGTCCTCCACGTCCACGTCCATGTTCACGTCCACGTCCACGTCCACGTCCACGTCCACGTCCATGTCCACGTCCACGTCCACGTCCACGACCACGTCCACGTCCACGTCCACGTCCACGTCCACGTCCACGTCCATGTCCACGTCCACGTCCACGTCCACGTCCACGTCCATGTCCACGTCCACGTCCACGTCCACGTCCACGTCCACGTCCATGTCCATGTCCAAGTCCTCCACGTCCACCTCTACGTCCACGTTCACGTCCACCTCCACGTCCACGTCCATGTCCACGTCCATGTCCACGTCCACGTCCACGTCCACGACCACGTCCACGTTCACGTCCGCTCCACGACCATGTCCACGTCCACGTCCACATCCATGTCCACGTCCACGTCCACGTCCACGTCCACGTCCACGACCACGTCCACGTCCACGTCCACGTCCACGTCCACCTCCACGTCCACGTCCACGTCCACGTCCACGTCCACGTCCACGTCGACGTCCATGTCCACGTCCACGTCCACGTCCACGTCCACGTCCATGTCCATGTCCACGTCCTCGTCCACGACCATGTCCACGTCGACGTCCACGTCCACGTACACGTCAACGTCCATGTCCACGTCCAAGTCCTACACGTCCACGTCCACGTCCACGTCAACGTCAACGTCCATGTCCACGTCCAGGTCCACGTCCACATCCACGTCCACGTCCAAGTCCTCCACGTCCACGACCACGTCCATGTCCACGTCCATGTCCACGTCCACGTCGTGGACGACCACGTCCACATCTACGACCACGTCGACGACCACGACCACGTCCACGTACACGTCCACGACCACGTCCTCCACGTCCACGACCACGTCCACGACCACGTCCACGTCCAGGTCCGCGTCCACGTCCACGACCACGTCCACGTCCATGTCCAAGTCCTCCACGTCCATGACCACGTCCACGACCACGTCCACGTCCACGACCACGTCCACGTCCACGACCACATCCACGTCCAAGACCATGACCACGTCCACGACCACGACCACGTCCACGACCACGTCAACGTCCACGTCCACATCTACGTCCACGTCTAGGTCCACGTCCACGACCATGTCCATGTCCACGTCGACGTGCACGACCACGTCCACTCCACAACCACGTCCACGTCCACGTCCAAGTCCAGGTCCAGGTCCACGTCCACGTCCACGTCCACGTCCACGTCCAGGTCCACGTCCACGTCCACGTCCAAGTCCACGTCCACGTCCACGTCCTCCACGTCCACGTCCACGTCCACGTCCATGTTCACGTCCACGTCCACGTCCACGTCCACGTCCACGTCCATGTCCACGTCCACGTCCACGTCCACGTCCACGTCCACGACCACGTCCATGTCCACGTCCACGTCCACGTCCACGTCCACGTCCATGTCCACGTCCACGTCCACGTCCACGTCCACGTCCATGTCCACGTCCACGTCCACGTCCACGTCCACGTCCACGTCCATGTCCATGTCCAAGTCCTCCACGTCCACCTCCACGTCCACGTTCACGTCCACCTCCACGTCCACGTCTATGTCCACGTCCATGTCCACGTCCACGTCCACGTCCACGTCCACGACCACGTCCACGTCCACGTCCGCTCCACGACCATGTCCACGTCCATGTCCACGTCCACGTCGACGTCCACGTCCATGTCCACGTCCACGTCCACGTCCACGTCCACGACCACGTCCACGTCCACGTCCATGTCCACGTCCACCTCCACGTCCACCTCCACGTCCACGTCCACGTCCACGTCCACGTCGACGTCCATGTCCACGTCCACGTCCACGTCCACGTCCATGTCCATGTCCACGTCCTCGTCCACGACCATGTCCACGTCGACGTCCACGTCCACGTCCACGTCAACGTCCATGTCCACGTCCAAGTCCTCCACGTCCACGTCCACGTCCACGTCCACGTCAACGTCAACGTCCACGTCCACGATCACGTCCACATCCACGTCCTCGTCCACGTCCATGTCCACGTCCATGTCCACGTCCACGTCCACGTCCATGTCCTCGTCCACATCCAAGTCCACGTCCACGTCCACGTCCACGACCGCGTCCACGTCCACGTCCACGTCCACGTCCACGACCGCGTCCACGTCCACATCCACGTCCATGTCCACGTCCGCGTCCACGTCCACGTCCACGTCCAGGTCCACGTCCACGTCCACGTCCATGTCCACGTCCACGTCCACGTCCACGTCCACGTCCATGTCCACGTCCACGTCCACGTCCACGACCATGTCCACGTCCACGTCCACGTCCACGTCCATGTCCATGTCCACGTCCACGTCCACGTCCTCGTCCACGACCATGTCCACGTCCACGTCCACGTCCACGTCAACGTCCATGTCCACGTCCAAGTCCTCCACGTCCACGACCACGTCCACGTCCACGTCCACGTCAACGTCCACGTCCACGTCCACGATCACGTCCACGTCCACGTCCTCGTCCACGTCCATGTCCATGTCCATGTCCTCGTCCACGTCCACGTCCACGTCCACGTCCATGTCCACGTCCACGTCCACGTCCACGTCGACGTCCACGTCCACGTCCACGTCCACGTCCTCGTCCACGTCCACGTCCACGTCAACGTCCATGTCCACGTCCACGTCCACGTCCACGTCGACGTCCACGTCCACGTCAACGTCAACGTCGACGTCCACGATCACGTCCACGTCCACGTCCTTGTCCACGTCCATGTCCTCCACGTCCACGTCCATGTCCACGTCCACGTCCGACCATGTCCACGTCCACGTCCACGTCCATGTCCACGTCCACGTCCACGTCCACGTCCATGTCCACGTCCACGTCCACGTCCACGACCATGTCCACGTCCACGTCCACGTCCACGTCCATGTCCATGTCCACGTCCACGTCCACGTCCACGTCCACGACCATGTCCACGTCCACGTCCACGTCCACGTCAACGTCCATGTCCACGTCCAAGTCCTCCACGTCCACGACCACGTCCACGTCCACGTCCACGTCAACGTCCACGTCCACGATCACGTCCACGTCCACGTCCACGTCCACGATCACGTCCACGTCCATGTCCTCGTCCATGTCCATGTCCACGTCCATGTCCACGTCCACGTCCACGTCCACGTCCACGTCCACGTCCACGTCCATGTCCATGTCCACGTTCACGTCCACGTCCACGTCCACGTCCACGTCCACGACCATGTCCACGTCCACGTCCACGTCCATGTCCACGTCCAAGTCCTCCACGTCCACGACCACGTCCACGTCCACGTCAACGTCCACGTCCATGACCACGTCCACGTCCACGTCCACGTCCTCCACCTCCACGTCCTCCACGTCCACGTCCTCCACGTCCACGTCCACGTCCATGTCTACAACCACGTCCACGTCCACGTCCACGACCACGACCACGTCCATGTCCACATCCACGTCCACGACCACGTCCACGTCCACGTCCACGTCCACGACCACGTCCACATCCATGTCCATATCCACGTCCAAGTCCTCCACGTCCACGACCACGTCCACGTCAACGTCCACGTCCACGACCATGTCCACGTCCACGTCCACGTCCACGTGCACGTCCACGTCCACGTCCTCCACGTCCACGTCCTCCACGTCCACGTCCTCCACATCCACGTCCACGTCCACGTCTACAACCACGTCCACGTCCACGTCCACGACCACGACCACGTCCATGTCCACATCCACGTCCACAACCACGTCCACGTCCACGTCCACGTCCACGACCACGTCCACATCCACGTCCATATCCACGTCCAAGTCCTCCACGTCCACGACCACGTCCACGTCAACGTCCACGTCCACGACCACGTCCACGTCCACGTCCACGTCCACGACCATGTCCACGTCCACGACCACGTCCACGTCCACGTCCACGTTCACGTCCATGTCCACGTCCACGTCCACGTCCACTTCCACGTCCACGACCATGTCCACGTCCACGTCCACGTCCACGTCCATGTCCACGTCCACATCCACGTCCACAACCACGTCCACGTCCACGTCCATATCCACGTCCATGTCCACGTCCACGTCCATGTCCACGTCCATGTCCATGTCCATGTCCACGTCCACGTCCACGTCCACGTCCACGACCACGACCACGTCCACGTCCACGTCCACGACCACGTCCACGTCCACGACCACGTCCAAGTCCTCCACGTCCACGACCACGTCCACGTCCACGTCAACGTCCACGTCCACGACCACGTCCACGTCCACGTCCACGACCATGTCCACGTCCACGACCACGTCCATGTCCACGTCCACGTCCACGTCCATGTCCACGTCCACGTCCGTCCACGTCCACGACCATGTCCATGTCCACGTCCACATCCACGTCCACGTCCACGACTATGTCCACGTCCACGTCCACGTCCACGTCCACGTCCATGTCCACGTCCATGTCCACGTCCACGTCCATGTCTATGTCCACGTCCACGTCCACGTCCACGTCCCATCCACGTCCACGTCCCATCCACGTCCACGTCCACGTCCACGACCAGGTCCACGTCCACGTCCACGTCCACGACCACGTCCACGTCCACGTCCATGTCCATGTCCATGTCCACGTCCATGTCCACGTCCACGTCCACGTCCACGTCCACGTCCACGACCACGTCCACGACCACGTCCACGTCCACGTCCACGTCAACGTCCACGTCCACGACCACGCCCACGTCCACGTCCACGTCCACGACCATGTCCACGTCCACGACCACGTCCACGTCCATGTCCACGTCCATGTCCACGTCCACGTCGACGTCCACGTCCACTTCCACGACCATGTCCACGTCCACGTCCACGTCCACGTCCACGTCCAAGTCCACGTCCACGTCCACGTCCACGACCACGACCACGTCTACGTCCACGTCCACGTCCACGACCACGACCACGTCCACGTCCACGACCACGTCCACGTCCAAGTCCTCCACGTCCACGTCCACGTCCACGTCCAAGTCCACGTCCAAGTCCATGTCCACGTCCACGTCCACGTCCACGTCCATGTCCACGTCCACGTCCACGTCCACGTCCACGTCCACGTCCACGTCCACGACCACGACCACGTCCACGTCCACGTCCACGTCCACGTCCAAGTCCATGTCCACGTCCACGTCCACGACCACGTCCAAGTCCTCCACGTCCACGACCACGTCCACGTCCACGTCAACGTCCACGTCCACGACCACGTCCACGTCCACGTCCACGACCATGTCCACGTCCACGACCACGTCCATGTCCACGTCCACGTCCACGTCCATGTCCACGTCCACGTCCACGTCCACGTCCACGACCATGTCCATGTCCACGTCCACGTCCACGTCCACGTCCACGACTATGTCCACGTCCACGTCCACGTCCACGTCCACGTCCATGTCCACGTCCATGTCTATGTCCACGTCCACGTCCACGTCCACGTCCCATCCACGTCCACGTCCCATCCACGTCCACGTCCACGTCCACGACCAGGTCCACGTCCACGTCCACGTCCACGACCACGTCCACGTCCACGTCCATGTCCATGTCCACGTCCATGTCCACGTCCACGTCCACGTCCACGTCCACGTCCACGTCCACGACCACGTCCACGACCACGTCCACGTCCACGTCCACGTCAACGTCCACGTCCACGACCACGCCCACGTCCACGTCCACGTCCACGACCATGTCCACGTCCACGACCACGTCCACGTCCACGTCCACGTCCACGTCCATGTCCACGTGCACGTCGACGTCCACGTCCACTTCCACGACCATGTCCACGTCCACGTCCACGTCCACGTCCACGTCCAAGTCCACGTCCACGTCCACGTCCGCGACCACGACCACGTCTACGTCCGCGTCCACGTCCACGTCCACGACCACGTCCACGTCCACGACCACGTCCACGTCCAAGTCCTCCACGTCCACGTCCACGTCCACGTCCAAGTCCACGTCCAAGTCCATGTCCACGTCCACGTCCACGTCCACGTCCATGTCCACGTCCACGTCCACGTCCACGTCCACGTCCACGTCCACGACCACGACCACGTCCACGTCCACGTCCACGTCCACGACCACGTCCACGTCCACGTCCATGTCCACGTCCAGGTCCACGTCCACGTCCACGTCCACGTCCAAGTCCACGTCCACGTCGACGTCCACGTCCACGTCCAAGTCCACGTCCACGACCCCGTCCACGACCACCTCTACGTCCATGTCCACGTCCACGTCCACGACCACGTCCACGTCCACGACCACGTCCACGTCCAAGTCCTCCACGTCCACGTCTACGTCCACGTCCAAGTCCACGTCCAAGTCCATGTCCACGTCCACGTCCACGTCCATGTCCACGTCCACGTCCACGTCCACGTCCACGACCACGTCCACGACCACGTCCACGTCCACGTCCACGACCACGTCCACGTCCACGTCCACGTCCACGTCCAAGTCCACGTCCACGACAACGTCCACGTCCACGTCCACGTCCAAGTCCACGTCCAAGTCCACGTCCACGTCCACGTCCACGTCCACGTCCAAGTCCACGTCCACGTCCACGACCACGTCCACGACCACGTCCACGTCCACGTCCACGTCCAGGTCCACGTCCACGTCCACGTCCAAGTCCACGTCCACGTCCACGACCACGTCCACGTCCACGACCACGTCCACGTCCACGTCCAAGTCCACGTCCACGTCCACGACCACGTCCACGTCCACGACCACGTCCACGTCCACGTCCAAGTCCACGACCACGTCCACGTCCACGACCACATCCACGTCCAAGTCCACGTCCACGTCCACGACCACGTCCACGTCCACGACCACGACCACGTCGACGTCCACGTCCAAGTCCACGTCCACGTCCACGTCCACGACCACGTCCACGTCCACGTCCACGACCACGTCCACGACCACGTCCACGTCCACGACCACATCCACATCCACGACCACGTCCACGTCAACGTCCAAGTCCACGTCCACGTCCACGTCCACGACCACATCCACGTCCACGACCACGTCCACGTCCAAGTCCTCCACGTCCACGTCCACGTCCACGTCCAAGTCAACGTCCAAGTCCATGTCCACGTCCACGTCCACGTCCATGTCCACGTCCACGTCCACGTCCACGTCCAAGTCCACGACCACGTCCACGTCCACGTCCACGACCAGGATCACGTCCACGTCCACGTCCACGTCCACATCCATGTCCACGTCCACGTCCACGTCCAGGTCCACGTCCAGGTCCACGTCCACTTCCACGACCACGACCACAACCACGTCCAAGTCCACGTCCACATCCACGTCCATGTCCACGTCCACGTCCAGGTCCACGTCCACGTCCACGTCCACGTCCACGTCCACGACCACGTCCAGGTCCACGACCACGTCCACGTCCAGGTCCACGACCACGTCCACGACCACGTCCTCGTCCACGTCCACGTCCAAGTCCACGTCCAGGTCCACGACCACGTCCACGTCCACGTCCACGTCCAAGTCCACGTCCAAGTCCACGTCCATGTCCACATCCACATCCACGTCCACGACCACGTCCACGTCCACGTCCACAACCACGTCCACGCCCACGTCCACGTCCACGTCCAAGTCCACATCCACGTCCACGTCCACGTCCACGTCCAGGTCCACGTCCACGTCCACGTCCACGTCCACGTCCAGCTCCACGTCCACGACCACGTCCAAGTCCAAGTCCACGTCCAAGTCCACGTCCAAGTCCACGTCCAAGTCCACGTCCGCGTCCACGTCCACGTCCACGACCACGTCCACGTCCACGTCCACGTCCAGGTCCACGTCCACGTCCACATCCACGTCCAGGTCCACGTCCACGTCCAGGTCCAGCTCCACGTCCACGTCCACGTCCACATCCAAGTCCACGTCTGCGTCCACGTCCACGACCACGTCCACGTCCACGTCCACGTCGACGTCCAGGTCCACGTCCACGTCCACATCCACGTCCAGGTCCACGTCCACGTCCAGGTCCAGGTTCACGTCCACGTCCACGTCCACGTCTACGTCCAAGTCAACGTCCACGTCCACGTCCACGTCCACGTCCAAGTCCACGACCACGTCCACGTCCACGTCCACGTCCACGACCACGTCCACGTCCACGTCCACGTCCACGTCCACGACCACGTCCACGTCCAAGTCCTCCACGTCCACGTCCACGTCCACGTCCTCGTCCAAGTCCACGTCCAAGTCCTCCACGTCCACGTCCATGTCTACGTCCACGTCCACGTCCACGTCCACGTCCGCGTCCGTGTCCACGTCCACGTCCACGTCCACGACCACGTCCACGTCCAAGTCCACGTCCAAGTCCACGTCCACGTCCACGTCCACGTCCACGACCACGACCACGTCCAAGTCCACGTCCACATCCAAGTCCAGGTCCACGTCCACGTCCACGTCCACGTCCACGACCACATCCAAGTCCAGGTCCACGACCACGTCCACGTCCACGTCTACGTCCACGACCACATCCACGACCACGTCCACGTCCACGTCCACGTCCAAGTCCTCCACGTCCACGTCCACGTCCACGTCCAAGTTCACGTCCACGTCCAGGTCCACGTCCACGTCCACGTCCACGACCACGTCCACGTCCAGGTCCACGTCCACGTCCAGGTCCAAGTCCTCCACGTCCACGTCCACGTCCAGGTCCACGTCCAGGTCCACGTCCACGACCACGTCCACGTCCACGTCCACGACCACGTCCACGTCCACATCCTCGTACACGACCACGTCCACGTCCACGTCCACGTCCAAGTCCACGTCCACGTCCACGTCCACGTCCAAGTCCTCCACGTCCACGTCCACGTCCAGGTCCAGGTCCACGTCCACGACCACGTCCACGTCCACGTCCACGTCCACGACCACGTCCAGGTCCACGTCCTCGTCCACGACCACGTCCACGTCCACGTCCACGTCCACATCCAAGTCCACGTCCACGTCCACGTCCACGACCACGTCCACGTCCACGTCCACGACCACGTCCACCTCTAAGTCCACGTCCACGTCCAAGTCCACGTCCACGTCTAAGTCCACGTCCACGTCCACGTCAACGACCACGTCCACCTCCACGTCCACGACCACGTCCACGTCCTCGTCCACGACCACGTCCACATCCACGTCCACATCCACGTCCACGTCCATGACAACGTCCACATCCACGTCCACGTCCACGTCCACGACCACGTCCACGTCCACGTCCATGACCACGTCCACCACCATGTCCACGTCCACGACCACGTCCACGTCCACAACCACGTCCACGTCCACGTCCACGACCACGTCCACCTCTAAGTCCACGTCCACGTCCAAGTCCACGTCCACGTCTAAGTCCACGTCCACGTCCACGTCAACGACCACGTCCACCTCCACGTCCATGACCACGTCCACGTCCTCGTCCACGACCACGTCCACATCCACGTCCACATCCACGTCCACGTCCACGACAACGTCCACATCCACGTCCACGTCCTCGTCCACGACCACGTCCACGTCCACGTCCATGACCACGTCCACGACCATGTCCACGTCCACGACCACGTCCACGTCCACAACCACGTCCACGTCCACGTCCACGTCCACCACCACGTCCACGTCCACGTCCACGTCCACCTCCACGTCCACATCCACGTCCACGACAACGTCCACATCCCCGTCCACGTCCACGTCCAGGACCACGTCCACGTCCACGTCCATGACCACGTCCACGACCATGTCCACGTCCACGACCACGTCCACGTCCACAACCACGTCCACGTCCACGTCCACGTCCACGTCGATGACCACGTCCACGTCCACTTCCACGTCCACGACCACGTCCACGTCCACGTCCAGGACCACGTCCAAGTCCTCCAGGTCCACGTCCACGTCCACGTCCACGACCACGTCCAGGTCCACGACCACGTCCACGTCCACGTCCATGACCAGGTCCACGTCCACGTCCACGTCCACGTCCACGTCCACGACCACGTCCAAGTCCACGTCCTCGTCCACGTCCACGTCCACGACCACGACCACGTCCACGACCACGTCCACCTCCACGTCCACAACCACGTCCACGTCTACGTCCACGACCACGTCCACGTTCACGTCCACGTCCACGTCCACGTCCTCGACCACGTCGACGACCACGTCCACGTCAACGTTCACGTCCAGGTCCACGTCCACGTCCACGTCCACGTCCACGACCACGTCCATGTCTACGTCCACGTCCACGACCACGTCCACGTCCAGGTCTACGACCACGTCCACGTCCACGTCCTCGTCCACGACCACGTCTTCGACCACGTGGACGTGGATGTGGACGTGGTCGTGGACGTGGACGTGGGCGTGAACGTGGACGTAGACATGGACGTGGTCGTGGACGTGGACGTGGACCTGGACGTGGACGTGGACTTGGACGTGGACGTGGACGTGGTCGTGGACGTGGTCGAGGACGTGGACGTGGACGTGGACGTGGACGTGAACGTGGACGTGGTCGTGGACGTGGACGTGGTCGTGGACGTGGACGTGGACGTGGACGTGGACCTGGACGTGGACGTGGACGTGGTCGTGGACGTGGTCGTGGACGTGGACGTGGACGTGGACGTGGTCGTGGTCATGGACGTGGTCGTGGACGTGGTCGTGGACGAAGACGTGGACGTGGAGGTGGTCGTGGATCTGGACGTGGACGTGGTCGTGGACGTGGACGTGGTCGTGGACGTGGTCGTGGACGTGGACGTGGTCGTGGACGTGGACGTGGACGTGGACTTGGACTTGGACGTGGTCGTGGTTGTGGACGTGGACGTGGACGTGGACTTGGACGTGGACGTGGACGTGGACGTGGACGTGGACCTGGACGTGGACGTGGACGTGGACGTGGACTTGGACGTGGACGTGGACTTGGACGTGGTCGTGGACGTGGACGTGGACTTGGACGTGGACGTGGACGTGGACGTGGACGTGGACGTGGTCGTGGACGTGGACGTGGATGTGGACGTAGACGTGGACCTGGACGTGGTCGTGGACGTGGACGTGGACGTGGACTTGGACGAGGACGTGGACTTGGACGTGGACGTGGACGTGGACGTGGCCGTGGACCTGGACGTGGACGTGGACCTGGACGTGGACGTGGACGTGGACGTGGACTTGGACGTGGTCGTGAACGTGGTCGTGGACGAGGACGTGGACGTGGACGTGGTCGTGGACCTGGACGTGGACGTGGTCGTGGACGTGGACCTGGTCGTGGATGTGGTCGTGGACGTGGACGTGGACGTGGTCGTGGACGTGGACGTGTACGTGGACTTGGACTTGTACGTGGTCGTGGACGTGGACGTGGACGTGGACGTGGACGTGGACGTGGACTTGGACGTGGACGTGGACGTGGATGTGGACTTGGACGTGGACGTGGACGTGGTCGTGGACTTGGACGTGGACGTGGACTTGGACGTGGACGTGGACGTGGACATGGACGAGGTCGTGGACGAGGACGTGGACGTGGTCGTGGACGTGGACGTGGACGTGGACGTGGACCTAGACGTGGACCTGGACGTGGACCTGGACGTGAACGTGGACGTGGACTTGGACGTGGACATGGTCGTGGACGTGGACGTGGACGTGGACTTGGACGTGGTCGTGGACGTGGACGTGGTCGTGGACATGGACGTGGTCATGGACGTGGTCGTGGACGAGGACGTGGACGTGGTCGTGGACGTGGACGTGATCGTGGACGTGGATGTGGTCGTGGACGTGGACGTGGACGTGGACATGGGCTTGGACGTGGACGTGGACGTGGTCGTGGACTTGGACGTGGACGTGGACTTGGACGTGGACGTGGACGTGGACGTGGTCGTGGACGTGGACGTGGACGTGGACGTGGACTTGGACGTGGACGTGGACTTGGACGTGGTCGTGGACGTGGACGTGGACGTAGACGTGGACCTGGACGTGGACGTGGACCTGGACGTGGACGTGGACCTGGACGTGGACGTGGACGTGGACGTGGTCGTGGACTTGGACGTTGTCGTGGACGTGGACGTGGACGTGGACGTGGACCTGGACGTGGACTTGGACGTGGACATGGACGTGGACGTGGACTTGGACGTGGACGTGAACTTGGGCGTGGTTGTGGACGTGGACGTGGTCGTGGACGTGGACATGGTCGTGGACATGGACGTGGTCGTGGACTTGGACGTGGACGTGGACTTGGACGTGGACGTGGAGGACTTGGACGTGGTCGTGGACGTGGTCGTGGACATGGACATGGACGTGGTCGTGGACGTGGACGTGGACGTGGACGTGGACTTGGACTTGGACGTGGACATGGACGTGAACGTGGACGTGGACGTGGACGTGGCGTGGACTTGGACGTGGACGTGGACGTGGACGTGGACGTGGTCGTCGACATGGACGTGGTCGTGGACGTGGACGTGGTCGTGGACGTGGACTTGGACGTGGACGTGGACGTGGACGTGGACGTGGACGTGGACGTGGACTTGGACGTGGACGTGGACGTGGACGTGGACGTGGTCGTGGACGTGGACATGGACCTGGACGTGGACGTGGACGTGGATGTGGACGTGGACTTGGACGTGGACTTGGACGTGGACGTGGACTTGGACGTGGACATGGACGTGGACGTGGACGTGGTCGTGGACGTGGACGTGGACGTGGACGTAGACGTGGACGTGGACGTGGTCGTGGACGTGGACGTGGACGTGGACGTGGACTTGGACGAGGACGTGGACTTGGACGTGGACGTGGACGTGGACGTGGACGTGGACTTGGACATGGACGTGGACGTGGACCTGGACGTGGACGTGGACGTGGACTTGGACGTGAACGTGGACGTGGTCGTGGACGTGGACGTGGACGTGGTCGTGGACGTGGACGTGGACCTGGACGTGGACGTGGACGTGGTCGTGGACGTGGTCGTGGTCGTGGACGTGGACGTGGACGTGGACCTGGACGTGGTCGTGGACGTGGTCGTGGACGTGGTCGTGGACGTGGACGTGGTCGTGGTCATGGACGTGGTCGTGGACGTGGTCGTGGTCGTGGTCGTGGACGTGGTCGTGGACGTGGACGTGGTCATGGACGTGGTCGTGGACGTGGTCGTGGACGAGGACGTGGACGTGGACGTGGTCGTGGACCTGGACGTGGACGTGGTCGTAGACGTGGACGTGAACGTGGTCGTGAACGTGGACGTGGATGTGGACTTGGACTTGGACGTGGTCGTGGTCGTGGACGTGGACGTGGACGTGGACGTGGACTTGGACGTGGACGTGGACGTGGACGTGGACGTGGTCGTGGACGTGGACATGGACGTGGACGTGGACGTGGACGTGGACGTGGACGTGGACGTGGACTTGGACGTGGACTTGACTTGGACGTGGTCGTGGACGTGGACGTGGACTTGGATGTGGACGTGGACGTGGTCGTGGACGTAGACGTGGTCGTGGACGTAGACGTGGACGTGGACGTGGTCGTGGACCTGGACGTGGACGTGGACGTGGACTTGGACGAGGACGTGGACTTGGACGTGGACGTGAACGTGGACGTGGACCTGGACGTGGACGTCGACGTGGACCTGGACGTGGACGTGGACGTGGACTTGGACGTGGTCGTGAACGTGGTCGTGGACGTGGACGTGGTCGTGAACGTGGTCGTGAACGTGGACGTGGACGTGGTCGTGGACCTGGACGTTGACGTGGTCGTGGACGTGGACCTGGTCGTGGACGTGGTCATGGACGTGGACGTGGACGTGGTCGTGGACGTGGACGTGGACGTGGACGTGGTCGTGGACCTGGACGTTGACGTGGTCGTGGACGTGGACCTGGTCGTGGACGTGGTCATGGACGTGGACGTGGACGTGGACGTGGTCGTGGACGAGGACTTGGATGTGGACGTGGTCGTGGACCTGGACGTTGACGTGGTCGTGGACGTGGACCTGGTCGTGGACGTGGTCATGGACGTGGACGTGGACGTGGACGTGGTCGTGGACGTGGACGTGTACGTGGACTTGGACTTGGACGTGGTCGTGGACGTGGACGTGGACGTGGACGTGGACATGGACGTGGACTTGGACGTGGACGTGGACGTAGACTTGGACGTGGACGTGGACGTGGTCGTGGACTTGGACGTGGACGTGGACTTGGACGTGGACGTGGACGTGGACATGGACGTGGTCGTGGACGTGGACGTGGACGTGGTCGTGGACGTGGACGTGGACCTGGACGTGGACCTGGACGTGGACCTGGACGTGGACGTGGACGTGGACATGGACTTGGACGTGGACGTGGTCGTGGACGTGGACGTGGACTTGGACGTGGTCGTGGACGTGGACGTGGTCGTGGACGTGGACGTGGTCATGGACGTGGTCGTGGACGAGGACGTGGACGTGGTCGTGGACGTGGACGTGATCGTGGACGTGGACGTGGTCGTGGACGTGGACATGGGCTTGGACGTGGACGTGGACGTGGTCGTGGACTTGGACGTGGACGTGGACTTGGACGTGGACGTGGACGTGGTCGTGTACGTGGACGTGGACGTGGACGTGGACTTGGACGTGGACGTGGACTTGGACGTGGTCGTGGACGTGGACGAAGACGTAGACGTGGACGTGGACGTGGATGTGGACGTGGACCTGGACGTGGATGTGGACGTGGACGTGGACTTGGACGTGGACGTGGACGTGGACGTGGTCGTGGACTTGGACGTGGATGTGGACTTGGACGTGGACGTGGACGTGGACGTGGACGTGGTCGTGGACGTGGACGTTGTCGTGGACGTGGACGTGGACGTGGACGTGGACCTGGACGTGGACCTGGACGTGGACGTGGACATGGAGGACTTGGACGTGGTCGTGGACGTGGTCGTGGACATGGACGTGGACGTGGACGTGGACGTGGACGTGGACGTGGTCGTCGACGTGGACGTGGACGTGGACGTGGACGTGGTCGTGGACGGGGACTTGGACGTGGACTTGGACGTGGACGAGGACGTGGACCTGGACGTGGACGTGGACGTGGACGTGGACGTGGTCGTGGACGTGGACATGGACCTGGACGTGGACGTGGACGTGGACGTGGACTTGGACGTGGACGTGGACGTGGACTTGGACGTGGACGTGGACGTGGACGTGGTCGTGGACGTGGACGTGGACCTGGACGTGGACGTGGACGTGGACGTGGACTTGGACGTGGTCGTGGACGTGGACGTGGACGTGGACGTGGACGTGGACGTGGACGTGGACGTGGTCGTGGACGTGGTCGTGGACGTGGACGTGGACCTGGACGTGGTCGTGGACGTGGACGTGGACGTGGACTTGGACGTGGTCGTGGACGTGGACGTAGACGTGGACGTGGACGTGGACTTGGACGTGGACGTGGACGTGGTCGTGGACTTGGACGTGGACGTGGACCTAGACGTGGACGTGGAGGTGGACCTGGACGTGGAGGTGGACGTGGACGTGGACGTTGACTTGGACGTGGACGTGGACTTGGACGTGGACGTGTACGTGGACTTGGACTTGGACGTGGACGTGGACGTGGACTTGGACGTGGACGTGGACGTGGACGTGGACGTGGTCGTGGACGTGGACGTGGACCTGGACGTGGACGTGGACGTGGACTTGGACATGGTCGTGGACGTGGACGTGGACGTGGACGTGGACGTAGACGTGGTCGTGGACGTGGTCGTGGACGTGGACGTGGACCTGGACGTGGTCGTGGACGTGGACGTGGACGTGGACTTGGACGTGGTCGTGGACGTGGACGTGGACGTGGACGTGGACGTGGACTTGGACGTGGACGTGGACGTGGTCGTGGACTTGGACGTGGACGTGGACCTAGACGTGGACGTGGAGGTGGACCTGGACGTGGAGGTGGACGTGGACGTGGACGTGGACTTGGACGTGGACGTGGACTTGGACGTGGTCGTGGACGTAGACGTGGACGTGGACGTGGTCGTGGACGTGGACGAGGACGTGGACGTGGTCGTGGACGTGGTCGTGGACGTGGACGTGGACTTGGACGTGGACTTGGACGTGGACTTGGACGTGGACGTGGACTTGGATGTGGACGTGGACGTGGACCTGGACGTGGACGTGGAACTGGACGTGGACGTGGACCTGGACGTGGACGTGGACGTGGACGTGGACTTGGACGTGGACGTGGACTTGGACGTGGACGTGGTCGTGGACGTGGACGTGGACCTGGACGTGGACGTGGTCGAGGACGTGGATGTGGACGTGGACGTGGACGTGGACGTGGACTTGGACTTGGACGTGGACGTGGTCGTGGTCGTGGACGTGGACGTGGTCGTGGTCGTGGACGTGGACGTGGTCGTGGACGTGGACGTGGTCGTGGACGTGGACGTGGACTTGGACGTGGACGTGGACTTGGATGTGGACGTGGTCGTGGACGTGGACTTGGACGTGGATGTGGACGTGGACTTGGATGTGGATGTGGACGTGGACGTGGACTTGGACGTGGACGTGGACGTGGTCGGGGACATGGACTTGGACGTGGACGTGGTCGTGGACGTGGACGTTGACGTGGACGTGGTCGTGGACGTGGACTTGGACGTGGACTTGGACAAGGACGTGGACGTGGTCGTGGACTTGGACGTGGACGTGGACCTAGACGTGGACGTGGACCTGGACGTGGAGGTGGAGGTGGACGAAGACGTGGACTTGGACGTTGACGTGGACTTGGACGTTGTCGTGGACGTGGACGTGGACGTGGACGTGGTCGTGGACGTGGACGTGGACGTGGGCTTGGACGTGGACGTGGTCGTGGACGTGGACGTGGAGGTGGATGTGGACGTGGACGTGGTCATGGACGTGGTCGTGGACGTGGACTTGGACGTGGACGTGGACTTGGACGTGGACGTAGACTTGGACGTGGACGTGGTCGTGGACGTGGACGTGGACGTGGTCGTGGACGTGGACGTGGTCGTGGACGTGGTCGTGGACCTGGACGTGGACGTGGACGTGGTCGTGGTCGTGGACGTGGACGTGGACGTGGTCGTGGACGTGGACGTGGACTTGGACGTGGACGTGGACGTGGACGTGGTCGTGGACGTGGACGTGGATTTGGTCGTGGTCGTGGACGTGGACGTGGTCGTGGACGTGGTCGTGGACGTGGACGTGGACTTGGACGTGGACTTGGATGTGGACGTGGTCGTGGTCGTGGACGTGGACGTGGACGTGGACTTGGACGTGGACGTGGACGTGGTCGGGGACATGGACTTGGACGTGGACGTGGTCGTGGACGTGGACGTGGACGTGGACTTGGACGTGGACGTGGACGTGGACGTGGTCGTGGACGTGGACTTGGACGTGGACGTGGACGTGGACTTGGACGTGGACGTGAACGTGGTCGTGGACGTGGACTTGGACGTGGACGTGGACGTGGACGTGGTCGTGGACTTGGACGTGGACGCGGACCTGGACCTGGATGTGGACGTGGACGTGGACCTGGACGTGGACGTGGACGTGGACGTGGACTTGGACGTGGACGTGGACTTGGACGTGGTCGTGGACGTGGACGTGGACGTGGTCGTGGACGTGGACGTGGACGTGGACGTGGACTTGGACGTGGACGTGGTCGTGGACGTGGGCGTGGACGTGGACGTGGACGTGGACGTGGACTTGGACGTGGACGTGGTCTTGGACGTGGTCGTGGACGTGGACGTGGATGTGGACGTGGACGTGGACATGGACATAGATGTGGACGTGGACGTGGACGTGGTCGTGGACGTGGACATGGACGTGGACATGGACGTGGACGAGGACATGGACGTGGACGTGGACGTGGACGTGGACATGGACGTGGACATGGACGTGGACGAGGACATGGACGTGGACGTGGACGTGGACGTGGACGTGGACGTGGACGTGGACGTAGACGTGGACGTGGTCGTGGACGAGGACGTGGACGTGGACGTGGACGTGGACGTGGACGTGGACGTGGACGTAGACGTGGACGTGGTCGTGGACGAGGACGTGGACGTGGACTTGGACGTGGTCGTGGACGTGGACGTGGACGTGGACTTGGACGTGGACGTCGACTTGGACGTGGTCGTGGACGTGGTCGTGGATGTGGACGTGGACTTGGACGTGGACGTGGACGTGGATGTGGACGTGGTCGTGGTCGTGGACGTGGACGTGGACGTGGTCGTGGACCTGGACGTGGACGTGGACGTGGACGTGGACGTGGACGTGGACGTGGTCGTGGTCGTGGACGTGGACGTGGACGTGGTCGTGGACGTGGACGTGGACTTGGACGTGGACGTGGACGTGGACGTGGTCGTGGACGTGGACGTGGACGTGGACTTGGACGTGGACGTGGACGTGGTCGTGGACGTGGACTTGGACGTGGACGTGGACGTGGACTTGGACGTGGACGTGAACGTGGACGTGGTCGTGGACGTGGACTTGGACGTGGACGTGGACGTGGACGTGGTCGTGGACTTGGACGTGGACGCGGACCTGGACCTGGATGTGGACGTGGACGTGGACCTGGACGTGGACGTGGACGTGGACTTGGACGTGGACGTGGACTTGGACGTGGTCGTGGACGTGGACGTGGACGTGGTCGTAGACGTGGACGTGGACGTGGACGTGGACTTGGACGTGGACGTGGTCGTGGACGTGGGCGTGGACGTGGACGTGGACGAGGTCGTGGACGTGGTCGTGGACGTGGACGTGGACTTGGAAGTGGTAGTGGTAGTGGACGTGGACGTGGACTTGGACGCGGACGTGGACGTGGACCTAGACGTGGACGTGGACGTGGACGTGGACCTGGACGTGGACGTGGACGTGGACATAGACGTGGACGTGGACGTGGAGGACTTGGACGTGGACGTGGACTTGGTCGTAGACGTGGACGTGGACGTGGACGTGGACGTGGTCGTGGTCGTGGACGTGGACGTGGACGTGGTCGTGGACGTGGACGTGGACCTGGACCTGGACGTGGTCGTGGACATTGACGTGGTCGTGGACGTGGTCGTGGACGAGGACGTGGACGTGGTCATGGTCGTGGACCTGGACGAGGACGTGGTCGTGGACGTGGTCGTGGACCTGGACGTGGACGTGGTCGTGGACCTGGACGTGGTCTTGGACGTGGACGTGGAGGACTTGGACATGGTCGTGGACGTGGACGTGGACGTGGTCGTGGACATGGACGTGGACTTGGACGTGGACGTGGACTTGAACGTGGACGTGGACGTGGTCGTGGACGTGGTCGTGGACGTGGACGTGGACGTGGACGTGGTCGTGGCATGGACGTGGACGTGGACTCGGACGTGGACGTGGACGTGGGCGTGGACGTGGACGTGGTCGTGGACGAGGACGTGGACGTGGACGTGGACGTGGACGTGGACGTGGACGTGGACGTGGACGTGTACGTGGACGTGGACTTGGACGTGGACGTGGACGTGGTCGGGGACATGGACTAGGTCGTGGATGTGGTCGTGGACGTGGACGTTGACGTGGACGTGGTTGTGGACGTGGACTTGGACGTGGACTTGGACAAGGACGTGGACGTGGTCGTGGACTTGGACGTGGACGTGGACCTAGACGTGGACGTGGACGTGGACGTGGAGGTGGAGGTGGACGAGGACGTGGACTTGGACGTGGAAGTGGTCGTGGACGTGGACGTGGAGGTGGATGTGGACGTGGACGTGGTCGTGGACGTGGTCGTGGACGTGGACTTGGACGTGGACGTGGACGTGACTTGGACGTGGACGTAGACTTGGACGTGGACGTGGTCGTGGACGTGGACGTGGACGTGGTCGTGGATGTGGACGTGGTCGTGGACGTGGACGTGGTCGTGGACCTGGACGTGGACGTGGACGTGGTCGTGGTCGTGGACGTGGACGTGGACGTGGTCGTGGACGTGGACGTGGACTTGGACGTGGACGTGGACGTGGACGTGGTCGTGGACGTGGACGTGGACGTGGTCGTGGTCGTGGACGTGGACGTGGTCGTGGACGTGGACGTGGACGTGGACTTGGACGTGGACGTGGACTTGGATGTGGACGTGGTCGTGGACGTGGACGTGGACGTGGACTTGGACGCGGACGTGGACGTGGTCGGGGACATGGACTTGGACGTGGACGTGGTCGTGGACGTGGACGTGGACGTGGTCGTGGACGAGGACTTGGACGTGGACTTGGACGTAGACGTGGACGTGGTCGTGGACTTGGACGTGGACGTGGACCTAGACGTGGACGTGGACCTGGACGTGGAGGTGGAGGTGGACGTGGACGTGGACTTGGACGTGGACGTGGACTTGGACGTTGTCGTAGACGTGGACGTGGACGTGGTCGTGGACGTGGACGTGGACGTGGACTTGGACGTGGACGTGGACGTGGACGTGGACGTGGACGTCGACCTGGTCGTGGACGTAGACTTGGACGTGGACGTGGACTTGGACGTGGACGTGGACGTGGTCGTGGACGTGGACGTGGACATGGACGTGGACGTGGACGTGGATGTGGACTTGGACGTGGACGTGGACGTGGACTTGGACGTGGACGTGGTCTTGGACGTGGTCGTGGACGTGGACGTGGATGTGGACCTGGACGTGGACATGGACATGGACGTGGACGTGGACGTGGACGTGGTCGTGGACGTGGACGTGGTCGTGGACGAGGACGTGGACGTGGACTTGGACGTGGTCGTGGACGTGGACGTGGACGTGGACTTGGGCGTGGACGTCGACTTGGACGTGGTCGTGGACGTGGACGTGGATGTGGACGTGGACTTGGACGTGGACGTGGACGTGGACGTGGTCGTGGACGTGGACGTGGACGTGGTCGTGGACCTGGACGTGGACGTGGACGTGGACGTGGACGTGGACGTGGTCGTGGTCGTGGACGTGGACGTGGTCGTGGACGTGGACGTGGACTTGGACGTGGACGTGGACGTGGACGTGGTCGTGGACGTGGACGTGGACGTGGACTTGGACGTGGACGTGGACGTGGACGTGGTCGTGGACGTGGACTTGGACGTGGACGTGGACGTGGACTTGGACGTGGACGTGAACGTGGACGTGGTCGTGGAGGTGGACTTGGACGTGGACGCAGACGTGGACGTGGTCGTGGACTTGGACGTGGACGCGGACCTGGACCTGGATGTGGACGTGGACGTGGACCTGGACGTGGACGTGGACGTGGACGTGGACGTGGACTTGGACGTGGACGTGGACTTGGATGTGGTCGTGGACGTGGACGTGGACGTGGTCGTGGACGTGGACGTGGACGTGGACGTGGACTTGGACGTGGACGTGGTCGTGGACGTGGGCGTGGACGTGGACGTGGACGTGGTCGTGGACGTGGTCGTGGACGTGGACGTGGACTTGGACGTGGTAGTGGTAGTGGACGTGGACGTGGACTTGGACGTGGACGTGGACGTGGACCTGGACGTGGACGTGGACGTCGACGTGGACGTGGACCTGGACGTGGACGTGGACGTGGACATGGACGTGGACGTGGACGTGGAGGACTTGGACGTGGACGTGGACTTGGTCGTAGACGTGGACGTGGACGTGGACGTGGTCGTGGACGTGGACGTGGACGTGGTCGTGGACGTGGACGTGGACCTGGACCTGGACGTGGTCGTGGACGTTGACGTGGTCGTGGACGTGGTCGTGGACAAGGACGTGGACGTGGTCATGGTCGTGGACCTGGACGAGGACGTGGTCGTGGACGTGGTCGTGGACCTGGACGTGGACGTGGTCGTGGACCTGGACGTGGTCTTGGACGTGGACGTAAACGTGGACGTGGAGGACTTGGACATGGTCGTGGACGTGGACGTGGACATGGTCGTGGACATGGACGTGGACTTGGACGTGGACGTGGACTTGAACGTGGACGTGGACGTGGTCGTGGACGTGGTCGTGGACGTGGACGTGGACGTGGATGTGGTCGTGGCATGGACGTGGACGTGGACTTGGACGTGGACGTGGACGTGGGCGTGGACGTGGACGTGGTCGTGGACGAGGACGTGGACGTGGTCGTGGACGTGGACGTGGACGTGGACGTGGTCGTGGACGTGGACGTGGACGTGGTCGTCGACGTGGTCGTGGACGTGGTCGTGGACGTGGTCGTGGACGTGGACGTGGACGAGGACGTGGACGTGGTCGTGGACGTGGACGTGGACGTGGTCGTGGACGTGGACGTGGTCGTGGACGTGGACGTGGACGTGGACATGGACATGGACGTGGACGTGGACATGGACGTGGACGTGGAGGACTTGGACGTGGACGTGGACGTGGACATGGACGTGGACGTGGACCTGGACCTGGACCTGGACGTGGACGTAGACATGGACGTGGACGTAGATTTGGACGTGGCCGTGGACGTGGACGTGGACGTGGACCTGGACGTGGACGTGGACCTGGACGTGGACGTGGACGTGGACGTGGTCGTGGACGTGGACGTGGACGTGGTCGTGGACGTGGACCTGGACGTGGACGTGGTCATAGACGTGGACGTGGACGTGGTCGTGGACGTGGACGTGGACGTGGACGTGGACTTAGACATGGACGTGGACTTGGACGTGGACTTGGACGTTGACGTGGACGTGGAGGTGGTCGTGGACGTGGACGTGGACGTGGTCGTGGACGTGGACGTGGACTTGGACGTGGACGTGGACGTGGATGTGGACTTGGACGTGGTCGTGGACGTGGACGTGGTCGTGGACGTGGTCGTGGACGAGGACGTGGACGTGGTCGTGGTCGTGGACCTGGACGAGGACGTGGTCGTGGAAGTGGTCGTGGACATGGACGTGGACTTGGACTTGGACGTGGTCGTGGACGTGGACGTGGACGTGGACATGGTCGTGGACGTGGACTTGGACGTGGACTTGGACGTGGACGTGGACTTGGACGTGGACGTGGACTTGGACGTGGACGTGGAGGACTTGGACGTGGTCGTGGACGTGGACGTGGACTTGGTCGTGGACGTGGACCTGGACGTGGACGTGGACGTGGACGTGGACTTGGACGTGGACGTGGACGTGGAGGACTTGGACGTGGACGTAGACGTGGACGTGATCGTGGACGTGGACGTGGACGTGGTCGTGGACGTGGACGTGGACGTGGTCGTAAACGTGGTCGTGGACGTGGACTTGGACGTGGACTTGGACGTGGACGTGGACGTGGACGTGGTCTTGGACTTGGACGTGGACGTGGACTTGGACGTGGACGTGGAGGACTTGGACGTGGTCGTGGACGTGGACGTGGTCGTGGACGTGGACCTGGACGTGGACGTGGAGGACTTGGACGTGGTCGTATACGTGGACTTGGACGTGGACGTGGACCTGGACGTGGACGTGGACGTGGACGTGGACTTGGACGTGGACGTGGACGTGGAGGACGTGGACGTGGACGTGGACGTGGACATGGACGTGGACGTGGTCGTGGACGTGGACATGGACGTGGACGTCGACGTGGACGTGGACTTGGACGTGGACGTGGACCTGGACGTGGTCGTGGACGTGGACGTGGACGTTGATGTGGTCGTGGACGTGGTCCTGGACGTGGTCGTGGACGTGGACGTGGTCGTGGACGTGGACGTGGTCGTGGACGTGGTCGTGGACGTGGACCTGGACGTGGTCGTGCACGTGGACGTGGACGTGGTCGTGGACGTGGACTTGGACGTGGACGTGGTGGTGGACGTTGACGTGGACTTGGACGTGGTCGTGGACGTGGACGTGGACGTGGACGTGGTCGTGGACTTGGACTTGGACGTGGAGGACTTGGACGTGGACGTGGAGGACTTGGACGTGGACGTGGATGTGGACGTGGACGTGGACGTGGACGTGGACGTGGTCGTGGACGTGATCGTGGACGTGGACCTGGACGTGGACGTGGACGTGGACGTGGACTTGGACGTGGACGTGGATGTGGACGTGGACCTGGACGTGGACGTGGACGTGGACGTGGACGTGGACGTGGACCTGGACGTGGACGTGGACCTGGACGTGGACGTGGACGTGGACGTGGACCTGGACGTGGACGTGGACGTGGACCTGGACGTGGACGTGGTCGTGGACGTGGACGTGGTCGTGGACGTGGTCATGGACGAGGACGTGGACGTGGTCGTGGTCGTGGAACTGGACGAGGACGTGGTCGTGGAAGTGGTGCTGGACGTGGACGTGGACTTGGACTTGGACGTGGACGTGGTCGTGGACGTGGACGTGGACGTGGACGTGGTTGTGGACGTGGACTTGGACGAAGACTTGGACGTGGACGTGGACGTGGTCGTGGACTTGGACGTGGACGTGGAGGACTTGGACGTGGACGTGGACGTGGACGTGGACGTGGACTTGGACGTGGACGTGGAGGACTTGGACGTGGTCGTGGACGTGGACGTGGACATGGACGTGGTCGTGGACGTGGACCTGGACGTGGACGTGGACGTGGACTTGGACTTGGACATGGACGTGGACGTGGAGGACTTGGACGTGGACGTGGAGGACTTGGACGTGATCGTGGACGTGGACGTGGACGTGGACGTGGTCGTGGACGTGGTCGTGGTCGTGGACGTGGACGTGGTCGTGGACGTGGTCGTGGACGTGGACTTGGACGTGGACGTGGACGTGGACGTGGTCGTGGACTTGGACGTGGACGTGGACTTGGACGTGGACGTGGAGGACGTGGACATGGTCGTGGACGTGGACGTGGACGCGGTCGTGGACGTGGACCTGGACGTGGACGTGGACGTGGACTTGGACGTGGACGTGGACGTGGAGGACTTGGACGTGGACGTAGACGTAGACGTGATCGTGGACGTGGACGTGGACGTGGACGTGGTCGTGGACGTGGACGTGGACGTGGACATGGACGTGGTCGTGGTCTTGGACGTGGTCGTGGACGTGGACGTGGACGTGGTCGTGGACTTGGACGTGGACGTGGAGGACTTGGACGTGGACGTGGAGGACTTGGACGTGGACGTGGACGTGGACGTGGACGTGGACGTGGACGTGGTCGTGGACGTGATCGTGGACGTGGACCTGGACGTGGACGTGGACGTGGACTTGGACGTGGACGTGGACTTGGACGTGGTCGTTGACGTGGACGTGGTCGTGGACGTGGTCATGGACGAGGACATGGACGTGGTCGTGGTCGTGGATCTGGACGAGGACGTGGTCGTGGAAGTGGTCTTGGACGTGGACGTGGACATGGACTTGGACGTGGACGTGGTCGTGGACGTGGACGTGGACGTGGTCGTGGACGTGGACTTGGACGTGGACTTGGACGTGGACGTGGACGTGGACGTGGTCGTGGACTTGGACGTGGACGTGGACTTGAACGTGGACGTGGAGGACTTGGACGTGGTCGTGGACGTGGACGTGGACGTGGTCGTGGACGTGGACCTGGACGTGGACGTGGACGTGGAGGACTTGGACGTGGACGTGGACGTGGACGTGATCGTGGACGTGGACGTGGACGTAGACGTGGTCGTGGACGTGGTCGTGGTCGTGGACGTGGACGTGGTCGTGGACGTGGTCGTGGACGTGGACTTGGACGTGGACTTCGACGTGGACGTGGACGTGGACTTGGTCGTGGACTTGGACGTGGACGTGGACTTGGACGTGGACGTGGAGGACTTGGACATGGTCGTGGACGTGGACGTGGTCGTGGACGTGGACCTGGACGTGGACGTGGACGTGGACGTGGACGTGGACGTGGAGGACTTGGACGTGGACGTGGACGTGGACGTGGTCGTGGACGTGGACGTGGACGTGGTCGTGGACGTGGTCGTGGACGTGGACGTGGACGTGGACGTGGTAGTGGACGTGGACGTGGACGTGGACCTGGACCTGGACTTGGACGTGGACGTGGACGTGGACGTTGACGTGGTCGTGGACGTGGTCGTGGACGTGGACGTGGACGTGGTCGTGGACGTGGACCTGGACGTGGACGTGGACGTGGACGTGGACGTGGAGGACTTGGACGTGGACGTGGACGTGGACGTGGTCGTGGACGTGGACGTGGACGTGGACGTGGTCGTGGACGTGGTCGTGGACGTGGACGTGGACGTGGACGTGGTAGTGGACGTGGACGTGGACGTGGACGTGGACCTGGACTTGGACGTGGACGTGGACGTGGACGTTGACGTGGTCGTGGACGTGGTCGTGGACGTCTTCATGGACGTGGACGTGGACGTGGACGTGGTCGTGGACGTGGACCTGGACGTGGACGTGGACGTGGTCGTGGACGTGGACGTGGACCTGGACCTGGACCTGGACGTGGACTTGGACGTGGACGTGGTCGTGGACGTGGACGTGGTCGTGGACGTGGACTTGGACCTGGACGTGGACCTGGACGTGGACCTGGAGGACGTGGACGTGGAGGACGTGGACGTGGACGTGGACGTGGAAGACGTGGACGAGGAGGACGTGGACATGGACGTGGAGGACGTGGACGTGGACGTGGACGTGGACCTGGACGTGGACGTGGACTTGGACGTGGACGTGCACCTGGACATGGACTTGGACCTGGACGTGGACCTGGACGTGCACGTGGACTTAGACGTGGACGTGGACGTGGACGTGAACGTGGACGTGGACGTGGTCGTGGACGTCGACGTGGACGTGGACCTGGACGTGGACGTGGACTTGGACATGGCCGTCGACGTGGACGTGGTCGTGGACGTGGACGTGGACGTGGACGTGGTCGTGGACGTGGACGTGGACGTGGATGTGGACATGGACATGGACGTGGACCTAGACGTGGATGTGGACGTGGACGTGGACCTGGACGTGGACCTGGACGTGGACGTGGAAGTGGACGTGGATGACGTGGACGTGGACGTGGAGGACGTGGACGTGGACGTGGACGTTGACCTGGACGTGGACTGGGACGTGGACGTGGACGTGGACGTGGACGTTGATGACGTGAAGGTGGACGTGGAGGACGTGGACGTGGACGTGGACCTGGATGTGGACGTGGACGTGGACGTGGACGTCGTAGTGGACGTGGACGTGGACGTGGACGTGGACGTGGACGTCGTCGTGGACGTGGACGTGGACGTGGACGTGGACGTGGTCGTGGACGTGGTCGTGGACGTGGACGTGGACGTGGTCGTGGACGTGGACGTGGACGTCGTCGTGGACGTGGACGTGGACGTGGTCATGGACGTGGACGTGGACATGGACGTGGACCTGGACCTGGACCTGGACCTGGACGTGGACTTGGACATGGACGTAGACGTGGACGTGGACGTGGACGTGGACGTGGACTTGGACGTGGACGTGTTGTGGACGTGGTCGTGGACGAGGACGTGGACGTGGACGTGGTCGTGGATGGGACGTGGACGTGGACGTGGACGTGGACCTGGACCTTGACGTGGACTTGGACATGGACGTGGACGTGGACGTCGACGTGGAGGACATGGACGTGGACGTGGAGGACGTGGACGTGGAAGTGGACGTGGACGTGGACCTGGACGTGGACGTGGACTTGGACGTGGACGTGGACGTGGAGGTGGACGTGGACGTGGACATGGACGTTGACGTGAACGTGGACGTGGACGTGGACGTGGCGTGGACTTGGACGTGGACGTGGATGTGGACGTGGACGTGGTCGTGGACGTGGACGTGGACGTGGAAGTGGACCTGGACCTGAACCTGGACGTCGACTTGGACGTGGACGTGGACATGGACGTGGACGTGGAGGACGTGGACGTGGACATGGAGGACGTGGACGTGGAAGTGGACGTGGACGTGGACCAGGACGTGGACATGGAAGTGGACGTGGACGTGGACCTGGACGTGGACATAGACTTGGAAGTGGACGTGGACGTGGACATGGACGTGGACGTGGACATGGACATGGACGTCGACGTGGACGTGGACGTGGACGTGGACATGGACGTGGACGTGGTCGTGGACGTGGACGTGGACGTGGACCTGGACGTGGTCGTGGACGTGGTCGTGGACGTGGACGTGGACTGGTCGTGGACGTGGACGTGGTTGTGGACGTGGACGTGGACGTGGACGTGGACGTGGTCGTGGACGTGGAGGTGGACGTGGATGTGGACATGGACATGGACGTGGACCTAGACGTGGATGTGGACGTGGACGTGGACCTGGACGTGGACCTGGACGTGGACGTGGAAGTGGACGTGGATGACGTGGACGTGGACGTGGAGGACGTGGACGTGGACGTGGACGTGGACGTGGACGTTGACCTGGACGTGGACTTGGACGTGGACGTGGACGTGGACGTGGACGTTGATGACGTGAAGGTGGACGTGGAGGACGTGGACGTGGACGTGGACCTGGAAGTGGACGTGGACGTGGACGTGGACGTCGTAGTGGACGTGGACGTGGACGTGGACGTCGTCGTGGACGTGGACGTGGACGTGGACGTTGACGTGGTCGTGGACGTGGTCGTGGACGTGGACGTGGACGTGGTCGTGGACGTGGACGTGGACGTCGTCGTGGACGTGGACGTGGACGTGGTCATGGACGTGGACGTGGACATGGACGTGGGACTTGGACGTGGACGTGTTGTGGACGTGGTCGTGGACGTGGACGTGGACGTGGTCGTGGATGGGACGTGGACGTGGACGTGGACGTGGACCTGGACCTTGACGTGGACTTGGACATGGACGTGGACGTGGACGTCGACGTGGAGGACATGGACGTGGACGTGGAGGACGTGGACGTGGAAGTGGACGTGGACGTGTACCTGGACGTGTACGTGGACTTGGACGTGGACGTGGACGTGGACGTGGACGTGGACATGGACGTTGACGTGAACGTGGACGTGGACGTGGCTTGGACTTGGACGTGGACGTGGATGTGGACGTGGTCGTGGACGTGGACGTGGACGTGGAAGTGGACCTGGACCTGAACCTGGACGTGGACTTGGACGTGGACGTGGACATGGACGTGGACGTGGAGGACGTGGACGTGGACATGGAGGACGTGGACGTGGAAGTGGACGTGGACGTGGACCTGGACGTGGACATAGACTTGGAAGTGGACGTGGACGTGGACATGGACGTGGACGTGGACATGGACATGGACGTCGACGTGGACGTGGACGTGGACGTGGACATGGACGTGGACGTGGTCGTGGACGTGGACGTGGACGTGGACCTGGACGTGGTCGTGGACGTGGTCGTGGACGTGGACGTGGACTGGTCGTGGACGTGGACGTGGACGTGGACGTGGTTGTGGACGTGGACGTGGACGTGGTCGTGGACGTGGAGGTGGACGTGGACGTGGACGTGGACGTGGACGTGGACGTGGTCGTGGACGTGGACGTTGACGTGGACGTCGACGTGGACGTGGTCGTGGACGTGGACGTGGTCATGGATGTGGACGTGGATGTGGACGTGGTCGTGGACGTGGATGTAGACGCGGATGTGGACGTGGACGCGGACAAGGACCTGGACGTGGATGTGGACGTGGACGTGGACCTGGGCATGGACTTGGACGTGGATGACGTGGACGTGGACGTGGACGTTGACGTGGACGTTGACCTGGACGTGGACTTGGACGTGGACGTAGACGTGGACGTGGACGTTGATGACGTGGACGTGGATGTGGAGGACGTGGACGTGGACGTGGACGTGGACCTGGATGTGGACGTGGACGTGGACGTGGACGTGGACGTGGTCTTGGACGTGGACGTGGACGTGGACCTGGACTTGGACGTGGACGTGGACGTGGACCTGGACGTGGTCGTGGACGTGGACGTTGACATGGTCGTGGACGTGGTCGTTGACGTGGACGTGGACGTGGTCGTGGACGTGGACGTGGACGTCGTCGTGGACGAGGTCGTGGACGTGGTCGTGGACGTGGCATTGACGTGGTCATGGACGTGGACGTGGACGTGGATGTGGACCTGGACCTGGACGTGGACCTAGACGTGGATGTGGACGTGGACGTGGACCTGGACGTGGACCTGGACGTGGACGTGGAAGTGGACGTGGATGACGTGGACGTGGACGTGGAGGACGTGGACGTGGACTTGGACGTTGACCTGGACGTGGACTTGGACGTGGACGTGGACGTGGACGTGGACGTTGATGACGTGAAGGTGGACGTGGAGGACGTGGACGTGGACGTTGATGACGTGAAGGTGGACGTGGAGGACGTGGACGTGGACGTGGACCTGGATGTGGACGTGGACGTGGACGTGGACGTCGTCGTGGACGTGGACGTGGACGTGGACGTGGACGTGGTCGTGGACGTGGTCGTGGACGTGGACGTGGTCGTGGACGTGGACGTGGACGTCGTCGTGGACGTGGACGTGGACGTGGTCATGGACGTGGACGTGGACATGGACGTGGACCTGGACCTGGACCTGGACCTGGACGTGGACTTGGACGTGGACGTAGACGTGGACGTGGACGTGGACGTGGACGTGGACTTGGACGTGGACGTGTTGTGGACGTGGTCGTGGACGTGGACGTGGACGTGGACGTGGACGTGGTCGTGGATGGGACGTGGACGTGGACGTGGACGTGGACCTGGACCTTGACGTGGACTTGGACATGGACGTGGACGTGGACGTCGACGTGGAGGACATGGACGTGGACGTGGAGGACGTGGACGTGGAAGTGGACGTGGACGTGGACCTGGACGTGGACGTGGACTTGGACGTGGACGTGGACGTGGACGTGGACATGGACGTTGACGTGAACGTGGACGTGGACGTGGACGTGGCGTGGACTTGGACGTGGACGTGGATGTGGACGTGGACGTGGTCATGGACGTGGACGTGGACGTGGAAGTGGACCTGGACCTGAACCTGGACGTGGACTTGGACGTGGACGTGGACATGGACGTGGACGTGGAGGACGTGGACGTGGACATGGAGGACGTGGACGTGGAAGTGGACGTGGACGTGGACCAGGACGTGGACGTGGAAGTGGACGTGGACGTGGACCTGGACGTGGACATAGACTTGGAAGTGGACGTGGACGTGGACATGGACGTGGACGTGGACATGGACATGGACGTCGACGTGGACGTGGACGTGGACGTGGACGTGGACATGGACGTGGACGTGGTCGTGGACGTGGACGTGGACGTGGACCTGGACGTGGTCGTGGACGTGGACGTGGACTGGTCGTGGACGTGGACGTGGACGTGGACGTGGTTGTGGACGTGGACGTGGACGTGGACGTGGACGTGGTCGTGGACGTGGAGGTGGACGTGGATGTGGACATGGACATGGACGTGGACCTAGACGTGGATGGCGACGTGGACGTGGACCTGGACGTGGACCTGGACGTGGACGTGGAAGTGGACGTGGATGACGTGGACGTGGACGTGGAGGACGTGGACGTGGACGTGGACGTGGACGTTGACCTAGACGTGGACTTGGACGTGGACGTGGATGGGACGTGGATGTTGATGACGTGAAGGTGGACGTGGAGGACGTGGACGTGGACGTGGACCTGGATGTGGACGTGGACGTGGACGTGGACGTCGTAGTGGACGTGGACGTGGACGTGGACGTGGACGTGGACGTCGTCGTGGACGTGGACGTGGACGTGGACGTTGACGTGGTCGTGGACGTGGTCGTGGACGTGGACGTGGACGTGGTCGTGGACGTGGACGTGGACGTCGTCGTGGACGTGGACGTGGACGTGGTCATGGACGTGGACGTGGACATGGACGTGGACGTGGACCTGGACCTGGACCTGGACGTGGACTTGGACGTGGACGTAGACGTGGACGTGGACGTGGACGTGGACTTGGACGTGGACGTGTTGTGGACGTGGTCGTGGACGTGGACGTGGACGTGGACGTGGTCGTGGATGGGACGTGGACGTGGACGTGGACCTGGACCTTGACGTGGACTTGGACATGGACGTGGACGTGGACGTCGACGTGGAGGACATGGACGTGGACGTGGAGGACGTGGACGTGGAAGTGGACGTGGACGTGGACCTGGACGTGTACGTGGACTTGGACGTGGACGTGGACGTGGACGTGGACGTGGACGTGGACATGGACGTTGACGTGAACGTGGACGTGGACGTGGACGTGGCGTGGATTTGGACGTGGACGTGGATGTGGACGTGGACGTGGTCGTGGACGTGGACGTGGAAGTGGACCTGGACCTGAACCTGGACGTGGACTTGGACGTGGACGTGGACATGGACGTGGACGTGGAGGACGTGGACGTGGACATGGAGGACGTGGACGTGGAAGTGGACGTGGACGTGGAACAGGACGTGGACGTGGACGTGGACCAGGACGTGGACGTGGAAGTGGACGTGGACGTGGACCTGGACGTGGACATAGACTTGGAAGTGGACGTGGACGTGGACATGGACGTGGACGTGGACATGGACATGGACGTCGACGTGGACGTGGACGTGGACATGGACGTGGACGTGGTCGTGGACGTGGACGTGGACGTGGACCTGGACGTGGTCGTGGACGTGGTCGTGGACGTGGTAGTGGACTGGTCGTGGACGTGGACGTGGACGTGGTTGTGGACGTGGACGTGGACGTGGTCGTGGACGCGGACGTGGAGGTGGACGTGGACGTGGACGTGGACGTGGACGTGGACGTGGTCGTGGACGTGGACGTTGACGTGGACGTCGACGTGGACGTGGTCGTGGACGTGGACGTGGTCGTGGACGTGGACGTGGATGTGGACGTGGTCGTGGACGTGGATGTAGACGCGGATGTGGACGTGGACGCGGACAAGGACCTGGACGTGGATGTGGACGTGGACGTGGACCTGGGCGTGGACTTGGACGTGGATGACGTGGACGTGGACGTGGACGTTGACGTGGACGTTGACCTGGACGTGGACTTGGACGTGGACGTGGACGTGGACGTTGATGACGTGGACGTGGATGTGGAGGATGTGGACGTGGACGTGGACCTGGATGTGGACGTGGACGTGGACGTGGACGTGGACGTGGTCTTGGACGTGGACGTGGACGTGGACCTGGACTTGGACGTGGACGTGGACGTGGACCTGGACGTGGTCGTGGACGTGGACGTTGACATGGTCGTGGACGTGGTCGTTGACGTGGACGTGGACGTGGTCGTGGACGTGGACGTGGACGTCGTCGTGGACGTGGTCGTGGACGTGGTCGTGGACGTGGCATTGACGTGGTCATGGACGTGGACGTGGACGTGGATGTGGACCTGGACCTGGACGTGGACTTGGACGTGGATGTGGACCTGGACCTGGACGTGGACTTGGACTTGGACGTGGACGTGGTCGAGGACGTGGACGTGGTCGTGGACGTGGACTTGGACCTGGACGTGGACCTGGACGTGGACGTGGAGGACGTGGACGTGGAGGACATGGACGTGGACGTGGACGTGGAGGACGTGGACGTGGAGGACGTGGAGGACGTGGACGTGGAGGACGTGGACGTGGACGTGGACGTGGACCTGGACGTGGACGTGGACTTGGACGTGGACGTGGACCTGGACGTGGACGTGGACTTGGACGTGGACGTGGACGTGGATGTGGACGTGGACGTGGTCGTGGACGTGGACGTGGACGTGGACGTGGACGTGGACCTCGACGTGGACGTGGACTTGGACATGGACGTGACGTGGACATGGACGTGGACGTGGACGTGGACGTGGACGTGGTCGTGGACGTGGACGTGGACGTGGACGTGGACTTGGACGTGGACGTGGACGTGGACGTGGTCGTGGACGTGGACGTGGACGTGGACCTGGACCTGGACGTGGACGTGGACTTGGACGTGGACGTGGAGGATGTGGACGTGGACGTGGACGTGGACGTGGACGTGGACAAGGACGTGGACGTGGACGTGGTCGTGGTCGTGGACGTGGACGTGGACGTGGACGTGGACGTGGACGTGGTCGTGGACGTGGACGTGGTCGTAGACGTGGACGTGGACGTGGTCGTGGACGTGGTGCATCGGCCAGTGTGGCCGGCATTTCGCACTTATAGTGCAAGTGGGGCCAGGGAGAACGGAAACACTCATTTCTCAAAAAGTAAAGGGAATCTAGCGCACTCACTCGATCAGAAGGTGGGAAATAAATAAATTTAGTGAGCTAATAAGGTTTGAAAGGTATCTAACGCACATGTATAGGGAAAATGGTGAAGTGGCCAGGTCGATCAGTATGGGAACTTAGAGTGCAGATGCCAGGGAGAACGGAAGCGCTCAGATCTCGCATAGTACACGGAATCTAGTGGTCTCACTCAAATAGAAGGTAGGAAATATATTAATCTAGTGAACGTAAGGGTTTGAAAGGTAAATAGCGCACATGTGTAGGAAAATGGTGCATTGGCCAGTCTGGACGGCATTTCGCACTTATAGTACAAGTGGGGCCAAGGAGAACAGAAACGCTCATTTCTCAAAAAGTAAAGGGTATCTAGCAGTCTCACTTGATCAGGTGGGAAATATATAAATCCAGTGAGCTAATAAGGTTCAAAAGGTATCTAACGCACATGAACGGCATGGCGGAGCGGGAGATGAGGACGGTGGTGGAGTCCGTGCGGACGATGCTGCTGCACATGGGCGTGCAGCACCACTGGTGGCACCTCGCTCTGCGGCAGGCCGTCTGGGTCCGCAACTGCCTTGAGCGGTCGACGCTGCCGTTTAGGACGACACCGTACTAGCTACTGACCGAGTAGAGGCCCGACTTATCGCTGGCGCGGGTGTGGGGCTGCATGGCGCAATTCCTTGTCCCCGAGCAGCAGCGTGGTGGGAAGCTCAAGCCAAAGGCCAGGTGGGGCCTTCACCTTGGCGTGTCGGCGGCGAGCAAGGGCTGGGAGCTCCTCGACGTCGACGCCAACCGGGTGATCACCACGTCGGACGTGGTGTTATATGAGGAGATGTCGCTGGCCGAGTGGAAGTCGGAGCACGGGCCAGTGTCTGGCTGGTCGTTGTCCACCCCGCCCTCTGACACCTCGTCGGCGACGCTGCCACTGCTCGCCAAGGTCGGTGAGCTTGTTGCTGAGGACGTCGAGGACGTCCGCCCCTCTACCCCTCCCCCTACGACCCCTGCCCCTTCCCTCGTGGCCGACCTGCACAGGCTGTATCCTATGTCGGCCTCCGGCGATGAGGGGAGTAGTGGGACGTCGCCTTTGGCGCCGGCCAAGTGCATCGCCGGTGGCCGACGTGACGAGCGGCAGGTTGACGTGGGATTGAAGTCGACGTCAATAGGGGAGGAGCAGGTCGAGGAGCAGCAGCCGACAGGGGAGCAGGCAGCCGTGAAGCCGACTACGAAGCAGTCGGCGATCGGGCAGTTGGCAGGGGAGCCGACCACAGGGGAGACGTCGACCATAAAATCGATCGAGGTGCAGCAGGACGACGAGGGCAGTGAAGACGGTGACGCCGAGGAGTCCACCAAGAGTGACATGGTGGAGGTTCGGCAAGAAACCCGGAAGTGGGACAGAGTTCGGAAGCCGCCTGGCGTTTTTGTCCCCGCTGCCTTCACCATGGTTTACGACGTTGACGATGACAACGACTTGCTGTACAATGACGTCGAGGACGATGAGAAGTTTCCGGAGCTCGACCCTGACGTGCTGGCCGACCCCGAACACCGCTGGGACATCTCGACGATGACGGTGAAGGAGGCGTTGGCGAGCTGGATGGGCCTGGCGGTGAAGGCCGCCATGGAGGAGGAGATCCGCAGCCTCATCAACATGGGGACTTGGGAGCTGGTCGAACGCCCACCGGGAGTCAACATCATGAAGAACCGGTGGGTGTTGACGACGAAGTACCACGTCGACGACACCGTCGAACGCGAGAAGGCGAGGCTGGTCGTGAAGGGCTTCACGCAGGTGTATGGCGCCGACTACGATGAGACGTTCGCGCCGGTGGGCAGCTACGTCACCCTGAGGATCTTCCTCAGCATCGTCGCCGTCCTCGACCTCAACCTGATGCAGCTCGACATGAAGAACGCCTTCCTGCAGAGCAAGCTCGACCGGGTGCTCTACATGACTCAGCCAGACTACTTCAACGACAGAACCGGCCGTGTCTGCAAGCTGCTGAAGAGCCTGTACGGGTTGAAGTAGTCGCCGCTGCTGTGGTACTTGGCGCTCAACGACGTGCTGGTCGGCGCCGAGTGGAAGAAGAGCCAGGTCGACGAGGCTCTGTACTTCAAAGTCGGCAAGGACGGAGTGGCGTGCTGGGTGCTGGTTCATGTCGACGACCTGCTCGCCGCCAGCAGCAGCACCGAAATGCTGAAGGAGTTGAAGGAGCTGCTGGAGTCCGCCTTCGAGCTGCGTGAGATCTCGCCGGTGCAGAAGTACCTCGGGCTAGAGATCCTCCGCGACAGGTCGGCGGGGAAGCTGTGGCTGCACCAGCAGGGCTACGCCGACAAGCTGCGTAGGCGCTTCATCGACGAGGAGCAGACCGGGCGCACTCCGAAGACGCCGGTCTCGGTCGATGCCTACGCCGGGCTCACCTTCGACGACGAGGAGGCGAAGGAGCGACAGGAGGAGGAGTACCGGCAGAAGGTCGGCTCGCTGCAGTTCGCGGCGACGACGACGAGGCCGAACGTCGCCTTCGCCTGCAGCAATCTGGGGAGCGGCCTCACGGTGGGGAGCGACCAGCACTGGCGCCAGGTCGACCGCTACCTCGCCTACCTCGCCAACACGCGTGACACCGCCCTGGAGTTTGGCGGTGGACCTGAGTCGCTGGAGCTGGTCGGCTACGTGGACGCCGACGACGCCGGACAAGCAGAACTGGACGAGCACGGGCGGCTACGTGTTCGTCCACGGAGGGGCTGTGGTCTCCTGGTCGAGCCAGTGCATCAAGTGCACGACGATGTCGTCATCCGAGTCGGAGTACGTGGCGGCCACCGAAGCCAGGAAGGAGGGACGCCGACTTCGCTTCCTCCTCGCATAGTTCCAGCAGCTGGATGCTGGGAAGCCGACCGTCCTCCAGGTGGACAACAAGTCGGCCATCACGGTTGCCGAGGGCATGGGGTTGACGGGCAACCTCAAGCACATGGAGCGGCGACAGGCCTGGCTGCAGCACATGGTGAAGCGCGGGAAGTTCTCGCTGATGTACATCCCGACCGCTGAGTAGCCGGCCGAATTCCTGACGAAGGCGCTGCACTATCCGGCCTTCAACCGGTGCTCCGTCGCCATCGGCTAGGTGCGCTTGGCAGACGTGGGCGACGAAGTTGACGACGTGTAGCAGTAGGTGCCATGCCCTCTTGCATGGCTGGTGCGGTGGACGACGTGCTGTGTGTTGGGTGCACGTCGACGAGCTAGTCTCCGAGGAGTACTGCCGTGTGGGCAGGGGCCCAAGTGTGAACGCGGCAGGGGAGTGTCAACGGGAGTTGTGTGTTGGCCCTGTCCTCGCTTGGGCGGAGCCGACTTCGTGGTCGGGTGTGAGGGGAGCATCCGACCTGCAGCAGTGGGCGAGCTGGTTGATGAGGAGGTCGACCTGCACGGGGACCACTCCACGGGGCGTCAACTTCGTGACGCCGACTTCGGGTGGCCGACGTGGGTGGTCGGCCGACAACTGCGCTAGTTGACGAGGAGCAGGTCAACCAGTAGTGACGTCGACCTGGTGAGGTCGACTTGGAGGTGGTCGTCCACTTGGGAGGTCGACGGGCTCGTACGGGAGCAGCTGGTCGACGTGGTTGCCTGGTCGACCAGGTTACCTGGGTGACGAGGTTCTGCGGAGAAGTGCGACGGTCGCCCAGGCAAAGTTGGCGAGCCCGACCTCGGGGGTGGTATCCCGAGGTCGACGTGGCCGATCAGAAGCAGGCGTCAGCACGAGGTTGACGTGGTGTGTGCGCTGTGCAGGTGACGAGACTCTGCACGCCAATCATCTGCGCGCACCTGCGAAGCGGGTGCGCTGCTGTTCTGCGTGAGCAACGCTGGCATGCCGTCAACCTGCGACGTTGGCACGCCGTCGACCTTGCACCGCTGGAGCGTGGTCGACCAAGTCGTGCTGGAACGCGGTTGACCAAGCTGCGCTGGCAGTTGGCCGACTTGGCTGTTTGCTCTGATGTAGTCTTGTGATGCCAACTTCAATTGTATCATTGTTCTGAACTTTTCCTAGTGGAACTCTTGCCAACTCTCCCCGTGAACTAGCAAGCAGTGTGCGCGCAAGGAAAACGACTAAGGACTAACAAACGCAGAGATCACACAAGCACCCGTGCCTAGCCCGTAGTCTAGCTCCTGTTGTAGTAGTTATCTCCGCATGGTGCGGTGAGCGTGGACAGCACACGACTTACCTTTCAGTCAGGTCGACGTAGTGGTCACTTACCTAAGTTGACGTAGGCCGGCAGCTGTGCGATAGTCACTATGGTAGGAGCCGTAGGTGACGCGGGGGTGGTGGACACCCTAGAGGCACGGCTGTAGAATGCGAGGTGAAAGCATGAGGCCAACGAGTATGGCGACTTGCCCTGGGCGGTCGTCAAGGCTGGACTCCGCTCCATGTGGGCGACGGAGCACCCTTCTCGACTTGCCTCTCCTCGTCCGGTGAACAACAAAGGCGGCATAGTCGTGGGCGTCAACGCTGGAGGTGGCCAAGTCGGCAGCAGTGCGGGAGGCACGTCGAGGCAGAGAGGTGTGATTCACGCCGACGAGGTCGGTGGCGTTCAGGCGCGAGGGTTGCAGACGTCAGCGGCTGCATGCCCCTCGCAGGGTGGCGTCGGAGGACGACGAAGCGGATTGTCGCCGATGTCGGCGACCCAGGTGACGGCGGGCGGGATTGCACCGAGCTATGGCTACTTCAAATTTGCGCCAGACAGGATCTTGGTCACCCCGCCGCTCGTCGTTCGACAGGACATCCTCACCTAGAAGGAAGCCATCGAGCCCCAGCTGGAGATGGCCGGACTGATCAACTTCTCCCGAGGAGCCGTGGTGTTGCCAGATGACCCCGACCTGCGTGCAGAGTTTCGCGCCGTGCGGCTGTTGACCTTCATGGTCATCTCGCGGTGCTGCTCGCCGGGCGTGCAGATCGCCTTGAAGTGGTGTCGGGAGTACCTCGATGCCGGCCAACAGGCGTGGCACTTCATTGAGTCGACCTACCAAGTCACCGACGACTTGTTCATCTCCCATCTGGAGGGACAG